ATGCTGGTTGCTTCATGACTTCCAGCAATCTTTAAACTCAGTATCCCAGCGATAATATATCACGGGACATTCATTAACTGTCTTTCAAGCCTTTCTCTAAATTTCAAGAATAATACTGACCATTCTTTCTCGTATGCTCTTTTCGGTTTTTTCAGTTTCAACCTTTTTGTCTGTTTTGTCTGTAAGTAAAATTGTGTTTATACATGTCGTATTCCAATTCAGAGCTATTCATGAAAAAAAAAGTTGTCAAAAGATTTTAAAGAAAAAATACTCCAAACATAATGGAAGTTTTGAATATCGCTGTTCACAATTTTTCTCCATTTTCACTACTTTCCACAGTAGTAAGTTTAAGAGAAACCCAATATCGAACAAAAATTCACATGTGAACAAGGTAATCTCAAGAGGAATTGAGAGACGAACGTAGAATAATATTTTGCAGATTTATCTGCATATAATCTCAATCTTATCATAGATCATATAACAATGAATAGCATCATAAATGATAAAAATTTTCTGTGAGAATTCTGAAATATAATAAGGTATGCTCTACAATTAACAACAATTTTGTCAAAAATGAATTGTTCGAACCTATTTCTTAAGATTCTATCAAGTTCATATGACAGTCCTAACTAAGTAATTATTGTCATATTTTATAAAGCATACATAACTTGATCTGGCAACTTACATTGTTTTGAAAGGGCAGCCTGCATTCTTTTTTTCATTCTCTCTTGCATACTTAACCTTCCCTACAAAAATAAAAACAATTATGCAAATATATTTATAGTTGACACCAGTTTAAAGTTTTGACAAATGACTTTAGACATGTCATTTCTTTATCTATAGAATAGAATAGAACTCAAATAATTTCTTTAAAAACCTTCAAAGTTAAATGTCTATCTGGTGAAAGAAGGAATGAGGTTAAACATTAAAAAATTCTGTAATATTAATCCATTCAAATGAAACAATAGATAAAATTCTTTGATCCTGTTTTTTGTTGATGACTAAGGATTATGATGTATATCTTTTATTTTGTTAGTCTCATCTAGTGATGACACATGTAAATTGTAATGAAAGCTCAAGAGCCTGGTCATCATAGACATGAACCTTGTGATTTTAATTACACTAATCTTATTTGCAATAGGCAAACATTTTATTGACTTGCTAAAGAAGTCACTGCAATTTTTTTTAAATTAGGGGAAGGATTAAAAATATGATTATTCTTGAAATAAAATAAATTCTTACTGACTTGGTTAGAACTGGATTTTTTACCAACTGATACTGGTGTTGAGTAGGATCTACAAATAATGTTATTCATTTTTCACTAAATTTAAATCTATTATAATCAGAGAACATATTGGAAATTTTCTCACAGAACTTAGCTCAGCTTTGAGGTATAAATTAATAAGTACAAAGTCAGTCATCAGGTCCTAAGTGGATGAGAGGACATAAAATTAAATGATTATCGTTCAACTTACTTTTTGGTACTTGAAGAATATTTGGTTGAAGATTTTTTCTTATCATCTGATGAAGAATCAGACTTAGATGATAAACTTTCCCTTCTATATCTTTTAATAACAGGTTTGACACTTCTAGATCTACTATGTGACCTGGATCTAGAAATATAAACAGAATATCATTGGCATTTCGTTAGGATTCTACATTTTCTACAACTTTCATGTGCTATACCATTAGGTGTTTTTTTTTTGACAATACAATATATTTCATGTTAAGAGTAGACACTATATTAAGAGACCACACAAGGGAATAATCTACAGTTGTCTCTTAATAGAGGTGGTCTCTTCGAAGAGTATTTGGTCAAAATAAACACTAAATTTAACTACCATCCCTCCTCTATTTACGTATTATTTGTAATTAACTGGATTTTGTCTGCAGAAATGACATACAATTCTCACCTTGATCTTGAACTATAGGAACTGGAACTAGAATAAGATGAAGATCTAGATCTGCTACTACTTGATGACCTTGACCCTTTTTTTCTTGAACTTGATCGGGACCTCGACCTTGATTTTCGTCTGTCTCGTTCAGATTTTTTAGAAGTCTTATATGAACGTTTTGGTGAACTCCCACCTCTTTGATTGCGACTAGGTGATCTTGACCTTGAAGATGAAGAGGAGGATTTTCTGCGTTTTGTGCTCAATGGAGATCTGAAATCATAAAATATTCTATTGACATAGAGAATTATATGTTTTTCATTAGATTTAAGATTTGGACACTTACTCATCAGCTGAAATGACAATTATAATTAATATAACAAAACAACATAGCATCTTCTGAAGTTGGCAACTCCGTTCAGATTGACAGTAAAGGACCAAAAAACAGAACTCGGTTTCATAGTTTCAAATTAGTTATATCAACAATCAACATGTTTATCTAGAGCTTATTTGTTACGGGCAAGAACATTTTACAGAGAGTGCATAAAGAATGACATGAAAATGAAGGCAAATAAAATCTTTCTCTCATACTTTTGTATGAGTCTTGGGAGGCTGGAGCCACAACTTTATGACATACACACTCATATATGTGACAAATAATACAAGGCTCACAGCGGTTTCTTCCTAAATATTATCTTAATATTCACCAACAACACTGATTACTCAAAGAATGTAGACTCATAAAAATAATTGAGGTTTTAAAGAAGTTTTAAGGTAGACTAAAGGTAAATATGAAGAGACAATAACATGAATTCTTAGGATTCTGACATCTACCAAATTATTTTTCCCACCCATTAGATAGACAGAGTGAACTACCGACCGAGATTTTCCCTTAGATTTGTGTACATTATCATCTGATGGGAGACATGGTCCCTGAACAGGGAGTTCCTCATCACCAAAACTTGTGATGAACATCACCTTGCCTGCTCCTATTGGTGAACGTGAACGGGATCTTGATGAAGATGAAGACCTGAAATACAGAATTGAAATCTTAATCTATTGCTAATAAATCTTTAAGGAAGAAAATTTTTTTTAGGATTTTCACAATAATTCATTTCATGGATGCAACCTTTCAAACATTGAAACTAAAAAGATTGTTCTCCTGTGCAATTGACAATATTATGTACCAAACAATATCTTGATCAACAGTTGATAATCTACTCACTTCTTATATGGTTCATATTTTGGACTATCTCTTGCTGCATAACTAAAATTATAAACAAAAGAAGCTTTATGTAATATGCTAGAATTCAATCGAAATTATGCAGAATTATTCTGAAAGTCTCCTGGAAAGTCACATACTATGTTCCAGGGTCCTGTTCTTACAATGAAATATACCATACTAACGATAAAATTGAACACAGAATTTATATGATTCCCAAAAGTATGCAGTGAGCCTATATATTTCTTATAACTGCAAAAGCTGCTCAAACTTTATAAAGGTTTTAATCATTAAACTCTACCAGTGTTGAGGATACAGAATTGGCCTTGACATTACAGTATGGACCACAAAAAGAGGAAATGGGAAAGATCAGTTGAAGAAAAGTAAAAGGGAAGATTTTATCATTTGAAGATGCTTTGCGTGATATTTACTATGTTTGGAGAAATCTTTTTATCCCTTTCACAAAATTTTAAATACTACTGGCAAGAAAAATAGAGGAATTTCTCTAAATCATGGATCCTTGTGGTTTAGATTAATGACATACAAACTTACCAAAAGAAAACCATTTTCAAAACAAGCTATGAGAAGGTAAAATATGATCATCAATGTAATATAAACAATATTCTTCAAATAAAATATAATTTTTTTTAAAAGATTTATTCTTCTGTACATTAAGTATTTAAATTAACATCAACTCTGACTCACCTTGGTGGACTAACTTTTCTTCCCATTAATTTTTTATCTTTATAGGCTCGCCTTTCTCTTCTTGACTTCCTACCCTAAAAAACACATATATATGCATCACTGATTACAAGGTTTTTACATAAAATCCCTAAAAGTGTGAAATTCCTCAAAAATATTTCACCTTCAATCGAATTCTGAGAAACGTTTGTCTAATTTAATTGTTTTAGCACCAAGCAAAGAAACTGTTGAAATGGTTGAATACAACTAAAAATATACTTACAGCAAATTGAGCCTTTTCCTCTTCTAAAAGTTTGGCTAATCTCAAAGCTTCAAGTTCATCTTTATCTTTTCTCAGCAATCTGAAAAAAAAATCAAAATGATGTAAGAGTTGGCAGCAAATAAGCACAGAAATAAACACACATACAAATCGTTTTTTACTTCTACTCCAAACTAACAAAAATAAATCTCCATACAACAATATTTAAACAGATATTTCTTGACCAGTTTGATCAAACTTTTCAAATTCAGTTATTTTACATGTTGGAATTCTTAACTTGGTATACAAGTGTTGGTTCTAATGTTAAGCTATAAAGTAACTACTATACAGAATAAATGGTTTGACAATTTTAATGCTTACCGTATATAATCATCATCTTTCATACCATATTGTTCAGCACATTTATTAATTACTGTTATTTGTTCTGGTGTCAACATATCAACATTTAAGGTTACATCTAAAAATATCAATGGATTATTAGTATATTCAACAAGGCAATCCTGTACAGTTTGTCTCATGGTACAATTTTGGAGAAATTTTTCATAGACAGCAGTATTGTTGGCCAAATCTTATATCAATTTTCCATATCACCTTCATCAGAAGAGAAAACCAAGTTGAAATATCCGAATGCATCATCTCAAACTATGTCAGGGTCAAGGCCAGATCCCTAATTTAATGAGCAAGCTTCTAACTTGCTAAACCACACTAGCTTCCCTAAGTTATCTCTGAATTCTATATTCAGTGGTACAGTCAGTTTAAGTTCTTGAATAATAACCATATTTTCAAAAAGATTCCCGTCTGCTGGTAAAACCAGTCCAAATCTAGGGAAGTACATACCTAAATCAGCAGTTTCTATATCTGTATCACTACTCTCATCACTATCATTTTCATCTTTATTACCAGTACCTGCTGATTTCTTAGTCGATGTACTGTCATCATAAGTAAAGGCTATAGCAGCTTTATTCTCAGATCTAAAATACAGGATTATATCAACCCACTGATATATTTTGTTGAATTGCAAATATGGTATGTCAATCTTTAAGTGTGAAAAATACTCAGAATACCTGAAATTAAGCTGTAACAGTAAAGCAAATATTTCGACAACTTTACTACATGAACTATAGGGTCCCAGAAAATACACGCATCATATCCTGCATACTTGACACTAGAATCCAAATAGGAAGGGATATAGCTCTAGTTATGGCATGGCATGTTTCAACTATCTGGAAATTCAACTGGACAATATTATCGAGGAACTAAACTTTACGGATTAACACAGTTCCACCTTCAAATATTTTCCTTCATGAGCGGACTGGTGTCCATCAAGGCTGCCTCGTACTAGACAAGGTTACGAAATTACACAAAATTCAGTTTGAAAGTCAGACATGATTACACTACTCTGACACTTTCAGTTACATGTTAGAAAAATTAGTTTACTTTTTCTTTGTGTTTTCTTCCTCATGAGATTGGTTTAAACATCCAAATTGTTCATCTATATGTATTTGATGTAAACTTTGTTCTTCTGATACTGTAATTGGAATAATATCAATTAGTTTCAAATTTCATTTTGATAAACAAGAGACTGGCAAATAATAATAAAAATGTCTGTTCTCACTTTACCAGAGTAAGGTCAGTAAGGGTCCTTTCTTCTAAGTCTCTGCTTCAACATTGAATAGAACTGAGTTGTAAGTTACCCACAACACTTTTTAGAATCATATTCCTACTTATATACTTACATCCAGCAGCTTCATTTTCAACAATAGAACGATATCTTTCATAATTACATTGTCTTTCTTCTTCATCTTCACTACGGCTCCTAATAATAACATTAGAAACAATCAAAAATCACAATCAATAAATTACAAAGCTAAATACACTTTTTGAGAAATAATGAACAAATATTGACTACATGGTGAAGGTTATATGATGAAAAGAAGAAATTAGTTGCAATAGACCAATTTTCTTCCATGATTAATGCATTTTTATGATCAAAATACCTTGAAATGGTACAACAAAATTCAAAGAATAACTTGTTAAACTAAGATACTGGTAGATACAAATTTATTGTAACGCTAATCATTATGATAATAAAGGTTGTAAAAAGTCTCTATAAGATTTAAATCTGCTACAACCTCCATAAATCTCAAAATAACAAACACCTACTTAAAAGGGTTTATTAACTTGCCATCACTTTCTGGGATGATATCCAGATGAGCTCTCACATCAAATCTATCTATCATATTATCTGTATGGCCCTGCCATGGCATCCTGAAACATTTTAAGTCAAATTTATAACAAATGAACATAGGAACATACAAAAATCATGATGATTTTCATAAATGTAAATGTTTGTCTTTTAAGTATTCAGCATGTATTTAAACTCAGGTACCAGTAGATTTCAACCTTTTGCCTTTCATTAAATTTTTGGAATCCATGATTGCATTCCTTCTCCCTCTTGATATAAATCCTTACCCTTTTTTTATTTTTTTTTAGTTTTTCCCTACATTCTTTTTTATAGCCTTACTGAATAAAACAACTTAAATGTAAATGTCCATAAATTTATGCTTTAATTTTGCAAGGCATCTTAGTATTGCCAAAAAAATGTTAGCCCAGGTTGAAACCCAAAATCAACTGTCTACGGCTGACTGACTACTAGTAATGGGTAAGCACTTGATCCAGAGTCTGCATAAATTTATTATTTCAATTCTTAACCCACACGTCTAAAATGTTATACAAAACCTTGTGCTTCTATAAATACACCAATAATAGTCATATCATAAATAAGTTTCCATTTACTTACATGCTTTGTGGACCTTCTGCTGCCATAGCTGTAGCTGGATCCAGGTGGATTTTATATGGTCTACCATAAATATGTACAAACTGAGCTGGATCTAGTTTCTTACATATAAATAGAAAAACTTGAATTAATATCTTTCAACTGCAGATTACATATTATACATGAATATACCAAATACAAATAGATGTATTGCATTAGTGAACTGTGTGAAAAAGATACTGGACTAAAAAGCTCACACGGAGAATGGCATTAGGTATTTTTCAAGTATGCCATGCCTCACTAACAACATCTGCCAAAATCAGTATTGTATTGGACCTGAAACTTCAAGTGTAAGGACATGGGCTAAACAGCTTAAAGAAGTTCATGGGTCTTTTACTGTCACAAAATCTAAATATTTACAATTTTTTCATAAAATTCTCTTCGTCTTTCAGCTCTTTTCTTATAATCCACCATTAATCCTCTGATCTTTCTTTCCTGTTTTCTAGCTTCATGCCACATTTTCACAGACTTGAATTTCATCTATTTCAGATTAATTTATTTTTACTGAAAGAATTTTAATCTGTTACCAAAATCATTTCAGCCAATTATTTATGTTTAATATATTTACATAACATTGATTTCAACAATGTGGTTGCCCATTGATGTTTTCATTTCAATGTTGGGGTGACTGCGAACAGGAAAAGACTTTCACAAATGTTCAAAATTAAATTTTCAATTGCTTCAACTTTATTTCAGAAATTTCAAGGATCTATAGAAATGCAGGTCTAAGGTTTGATAAGTTTGTAATTTCACATTTAATTTAACAAACTCACATGAAACTATTATGCAATGGACTGAAAGTTCCCTTCTGATTCTGAGGGACATAGTTGACGTTTAGCTGTGAACTGATAGAGTTTCTTTTTGCCAGTACTTCTGTTTAATCATGCACATTAAAAAGATAGCTTGCCAGGCAAGGTAACATACGCCCACTACCATCTGTCAGAAATCATAACAAAGTAACAAAGTCTGTAGTGGTTTAATATGTGAAACCAATCATCATATTTTTACTAATTTCAAGCTTTACAGAGATCTCATACCAAGTTTCACCAAGATCGTATAAAAAATGTAGTCTCTATCAGGCCTACAAGCCAAATTAGATGCATAGAATTAATTCAAGGGCAATAACTCCAAAAACGTTCACCCGATTATTACCAATTTCAACTTGTCCATATATACATGCATACTAAGCTTCATCCATTTTGGATAAAAACTGTAGTCTATAGCCTGCCTAAAAGCCAATTTTAATAAGTCAAGGGCAATAACCCTGAAATCGTTCATCCAATTATTACCAACTTCAAACTTGACCTATATCTCATCAAAATTGTAACATTCATTGGGCATACCAGGCAATTTTAATGCAATTTTACTATGTCAAGGGCAATAACTCTGAGACCGATCATCCGATTATTACCAATTTTGAACCTGACCTAGATCTCATCAATATATACATGCATACTAAGTTTCATCAAGATCAGATAAAAATTGCAGCCTCTATCATGCATACAAGCCAAATTCAACGCGTTTTTACTAAGTCAAGGGCAATAACTCTGAAACCGTTCATCCGATTATATCCAATTTCGAACTTGATCTTATCTTATATACATGCAACCAAGTTTCATCAAGATCAGATAAAAACTGTAGCCTCTATCGTGCATACAACATATGTGGACAAAGGGCCAGACGGATGGACAGACAGGGGGACAGCAACATACGTCCACATTTCCATGTGGGCATATAAAAAAGGAAAGATCAAAATTACAATCTACTGTCTGACTACATTGATCTTTGAATTGAATTTCTTTTTCTCATTTCATAAATATTCAAAATAAAATTTTCAATTTTATGCCATTTGTCTTAGAATGAATGTCTTCAGGCCCTTAGAAATATGAGGATCAGTGATTTTACATTTGAAATAGACTCACTTCCCTCCCAGAAAATTCAAGTGAAAATGATTCAGACTGAAAATTCCCCTCTGTAAAATCATGTTTACAAATACTAACTTTTGCAGTGGTTGACATTTTCACCAACCCAAAGGCAATTGAAGACTCTCGTCGGTAGTACTTTGTAACTGATATTTCAATTCATCAGGAAGTGATTGCCAATATTCAATTCAGAAAACAGTGTCAAATATGACTGATTAAGTGACTTTTTTCTGGTTTGTTAGATATATGGCCATATTTTGAAATATTTACTATTAGGTTAGGGTGGAGAATTCATCCCCAACATAGATCAAAAAGTTCTTAATGCACACGGATTAACAGAAGTGCATGCAAAATAGCGAAAAAGAAACACAACCAGTTCACAGCTAAATACCCACTGTGTAAATCGTAATTTACAGTTTATATTTCAATTCAAAAGTAATTGGCGAAATACGTTGCGGATTACATTTCTTACTTTATTCCATATGATACCGATTCGTATCAAGTTAATTTGTATAATTGTAATAGATCAAGTTGTAAACCTACGTGTTGAGTTGGTTAAAAGTTGGCAAAACAAAGACACTTCGTCTTGACCTAATATTTAGTTTTCTTCTCAAACATGGACAGGACATACATTTTCGCCATATGCACAGAAAAATGATTCGAAAACTCTGTTAGTGTTGTAGAATTGGAAATTTTTTCTGTTACCGAGCAGGTGGTCAAACCGGTGTAATTGTTGAAGAGAACAATAATTCATTTCATGACTTGAATGGCCGTCAAATCTCGTGCGAGCGGTAAATAGTTATGGGAAATTCTATTATTGAATAGTTTGGATTTTAAAGTTGGGTAAATCTTTAAATTTAATTTTATGTCAAGTAAAGAAAAATGGTAATCAAAAAGAACTGGAAAAAGTTGTTTTTAAGTTTTAGGAAATGTCATATCAAAAAACCCATGATGCATTAGAGCACCGACCTTAATGGCGGGAAACCTTGTCACTTACGAAATAATTAACGTCATCGACATCGGCACTGAATCGGCCATAATGACTGGGTAAAATATGGTTTAGTGTGATAGACAGTCGTAATTTCTAAAATTTGAAATTGTAAAGTTATTGGATAATATTTTCCAGGTGGTGTTTTTATTCGTTCGTGTCTTTTAGAATTTATACTTTCAATTTCATTTTGATTTTTAAAACGGTCAAGGAGTTGGGCGTGACCGATTTCATTGTTTTAATTCAGTAGACAGTAGGCCTACCGCCGTTAGTAGGAGGCCTACTGAACATAGACTGACATAGGCGTAATGTTCACCTTACCGGAGCCTAACCTGATAATGTTATAAGTTTATTTACTGACACGGACTCAGTGAATGACTAAATATGGCCGTAACTGCGGCGTTAGTCGTGAGTGTAGGCTTGCTAACGTTTGACACTGAATCTAGTTGGGTCTTGAACAAAACACAGTGAACAATAAAGTATAGGCTATAAGTATAATGTTTTTTTTTTTTGCAGATGCATCAGAAATGAATCGAAGGAAATTGTTGTTATTCAACAATATCATCCTTGTTGTATTGTAATTCTTTTCTCTCGGTACGGTATTAAATTGTGTACCTGCCAATTATATTTCAGATGGAGATTTCTGAACCAGAAATTGAAGAATGTGGATACACCAACCAATTGAAGGTCATTGACAATGGCATTACCAACGATGATTATTTGGGATTAGGCGTACAAGAATTTCAAGACGTGGATTTGTTTTGTAAGGAAACAGTAGAAGATTTGGACCAGGTGTGGTATATTCCAGACGAGGCGAGAAAGGATGCTTTTAAAATTAAACCGTATCAGCTAAGGTCTCGCAACACAGGAGCTCCGTTTAGAGACTCTGGTGACAGCAATCCATCATATCAAGTTGGTGATCCTCCCAAACAAAATCCATATATCAATTATTTAGTTCAGCAATTTCAAAATTCAAATACAACATCACAGAATCCAGAAATACCACAAGCTAATCTACCCGATGAACTCTTACAAGAGTATGGGTGTGTCGATATGGATCTTCCAATAATTGAAAGTGGAAAACCGCCGTCTCCGTTACTTGATAGACTGACTTTAGTAGATTCATTTAATGAAGTATCAATGAACGATGTCATTATATTCAGAGACGAATCTTTAATACCATACCTTCAACGAAGTCCACGGAGCAGTCCAACATTCAGTGGATCAAATAACACAAGTCCGAGAAGTATTTCTCCAGTAAGTGACCATGTAGTGCCTGGCGAAGATGATGGTAGAAACAGAATTCTCAGATCATGTGAAATACAAAACGATCAAATTGTACCAGAATATCAGTTGTACATTGAGGAATAATTGTTTGCTCAGTTGATTGTTGGTATCTGTTATAAATGTTGACTAGAGCTCAAGTTAATTAAGTATCACAAAATTATTCATATGCGTTAAAAATTATTCATCGTTATCAATATCACGTAAGCCTGTATTTCATCATGTTCTTTTGGCAACGGTACGATGATAATGATGTGATGAGATGTAAAATATCATCGTACCGTTGCTAGAAGAACATGGTATTTCATGTTTTTATATCACAAAGCTTGAATAGAGTAGGGATTTTTAAAGGAAAAAAATAAATATAGGCTAACTATTTTTGTTATATGGTACTCGGTTTGCTTGATGGGTGGGTTTGATTTATGAAGGGCAGTACGAGTTCAGTTAATCACAATAAGGGGGAATTGTCGGATAAAATGAAATTGAGCTAACGCTCTACGTTATATTTGGCGAATGTTCGGAAAATGCCACGCAGTGTGTTATGAGGGTTGCAACATGCTTATTTTTTTTGTCAATATTAAGCTTTCTCGACGATCTAGTGTCGAATCTGTAGCTGGTGATTAGCTGTTAATGGCAGCTTGTTGGGTCGCGGGTTAGAATACGAATGCTCCTACTACCCTTGATAAATCAAGCTGGGTTTGATTGAGTTAAGATCATTAAGGTGTTGATGCCAATATGCCACCAATGTTGTTAATTTATTATTTAAGTATATCTTTGTTATATTGCATACTGTATTTTTATTGTTAGATTTGTTAAAAAAAATTTAATCATGAAGTTGAATTCTTCGCATTTCATTAATTATTCATTAAATTATTTAAAAACATTTAAAGGGATGATGTTGTTCTAATTTTCTCTTTATTCATATAACTTCTCGAAATTAAATTTAACAAAACATTTTAAACCGTCGTGATTTGTTATTGAGGTTATTGCTGGAGACGGCGTCATTAGCCCTATTATCGTGACAACCTAATCTGCAGGATCTTTTATATTGTGGAGGAACGGGACGTGATTTTTTAATTCTGAAAAGTCATACTAATAGCTATAAATGCTTTCAGTCTTTTGAACAAAAAATTATACGATTGTATTCCTAAAATTATTTTGAATAAGTAATTCGGTCATTGCCCAATTGTTAAAATAAGTATTGTGTTTTTTCGATGAAAGGATGAAGATTTTCATGACTACAAAGACTTATTTGGTTCAGCTACTATGGACTATACACAGCATTATTTATCATAAATGTATATACAATGCAAATAACACATAGTTCGTCTTTTGATATGTAACTCTTCAGCCAGCAGCGAAGTAATTTTCATTGAACGAATTTCCTAGGCCCGTGAGTTCTAGACGTTTAGTGTACGAAAGAAGTACCATGCACCAAAGTATTATTATCTTTATAAATAGATTAAAGTTGATATTTTTAATGTTACTTTTCAAATTGAAGCCATATTTTTTTTAATAAAGCACACTAAGCCTAATTAAAAACTTAAATAATTTGTCGTCATATCATTCATACAGTGGCTCAACTACCATAGTTGAACTGAGTCCACGCCCTACCTACAAAAATAGCATGAACTACAGACTGAAAATCGTTAAGTCTTCAATAAACAAGCATTAAATTGACTTACAGATGAGTCTTTGAATGCAGGAGAGATATGTTAAAAACGATTCCGGGGGAGGGACTCCAACCCACAGGCAGCCACTCGTCTAGTTGGGCCACTCTACACAGCTTTCAGTGGTCAGAGTGCACATTTGTAGTTTGATCCATGACAGGTTTCCCGCCCTGTAACTTCTCGTCACTTTTAAAAAGAAACGGGATGACTGTCCATATAGGCTGAATATTTTAAGTTGCTCATATTGCCTAATTTAAGCACAGCTACTAATCTACCAATCTATCTGTATAACAATATACATGTGTGTAACAATATACATTTTAGAAAGTTATCTTTGAAATAGATTGAGTAACTTTGGGGGAATTCCATATAGTGGAACTAATCAATGCCTATTATTTGTTCAAATTCGGTCAGACATTACATAAAATCAAAATTGTGCTTTCGTTAGTTTGTGAACGCAGGTCCGAATTTACCCGTGTAACCCTTGAGAAACTTAGGGGAAATATGGGCGAAGCTAGACTGTTGATGAATCTACATTGAAATGAAATGAAATGAATGAAGTTTTACGTCCTACTTTTCTGCACCATGTGGGCTAATGAAGACGGGCAACGCCATGCAGACTGCAATGAGGGAAATTTTGCCAGGACAGTGGCATTAGCCTGCTCTTTTTCGATTTCCAACTGTCGAGGGATCTTTAACGTGAATCTACATTGAAGCTCTCTCTATTTTGTAAGAATCATTCGGTGTTTCTATCTCATGTCATGAGTGAAACGTTAAGATCAGTTGTAACATAGTCTAAGTGGTTTTGCTACACTTGTTCATAACCAATGATTTGAAAGCCACAGGCGAACAGAAGACTCAAAACAGCCATAAATATTTTACGGTGGCTCATTTGTATCACAAATTATCATTTATCTTTCAGACAAAGGAACGATAATAAATTGTAAGCTACTAGCCCAGAATGTAATTCCATTAATTGAATTTGAGGAAATTTGTTGATATTACATCTTACTGAATATATGACACATGTGTAGGAGGTATTCACCATTAATCCAACCTTCATTTTTCTTTTTGGCACCTATGCATGTGGATATTATCTGTAGGGCCTACAGGAAATTGTATCTGTGCCTCAAACCATACGAAATCCTCGTGATATTGAAACAGTAATGTTAAAGGCTGCTTTTACTTACGAAGCTGGGGCAGATTTTAGAATTTAGGTGAAGAAATTAACGCCTTTAATATTGTCAAGTCAAATGGATCCGATGGCAGTACAAAGAAACTTGATTGCTGATGTACTGAACAGAAAAGTAGTCCACCTAGAAGGCATTCTCATTTTACTACGCGACTAAAATATACCAGTTTCATAAAATTGTCACAAATAGTTTTTATTTTACATAATATAGAACACTGTTTGTTTAATTAATTGTGTTATATCAATGAAATCAATTTTATTTTATTCATATTTAGAATTAGATTTGATATAACTTCGAACTCTTTAGTATAGTCTATTGGTTCGTCGCTACATGTCTGCCATTGGTGGTTCACTTCAGGAAACAGAAGTGTGAAAATTAAAGTGAATTTATTGCAAACCGAGCGATTTTTTGACAAATATAACAACCTTACATGAAACATTATGGTAATGGCAGATAAAAATAACGAGGATTCTAGAAATGGTCGCAGATCAAGAGGAGCAAGTCCACATTCAGAAGACAGTGGCGACGAATCTGATCAGGGTGAGTTTCCTTACTTTTTGTCTTGATCCGACAATTTTTAAAGGGATTGTCACACTGTAAAGAACAAAAATTGTACGGTACGCTTTTAGTGAAACGCATTAGATCTTGAAATCATTTTGATTTATATTTAGATAATGGGATGCGTGTTGGATCGGAATATCAGGCGGAAATTCCAGACTGTGCACCAGGTAAGTTGGACTGTTCTGATTATCTCCCTTGCCTTGATCTTTTTAAAGGGGTGGTTCCACATAATTTTATGTTGTAATTGAACTAGGCTATTCTTTAATTGTTCTTGTAGAGACTTCTTACATTGCATCAATGTAAACATCTGTTTTTTTTTCTTCTAAGAATAAGAATTTAAAATGAGCTCAACACTCACAGCATTTTGATTAAAGAGGCAGTCTGATTTTGGAAGGCGGTAGAGAATGTTTCGTATTCAAATTAATGAAAACTATACACTAAAATGTGGAGAATGGTGGCCATTACCTTCTTACCTTTAATTTTATAACGTAAATGTTAACGTAAACTTTTTAAAGTGGATATGTTTCAAGTTAGTTTTGAACTACTAAGACAGAATCAAACAAAAAAAAAAGCCAAATTGTGGAGAAATATGTATTTTGATTTGGAAGGTTTCAAAAAAACATATCCAATCCTAGACTGTTTGCATGATAATTTACTCAATTTTCACTTTTGATAATTTTCTACCAGTAGCAGATGCTGCTCACATTTGAATCAAAATCAGGTCAAGATATGTTTTACTGCTATCTTACAGCCTCTACTGGTGCCTTACCAGATTTATGCCAATCACACAAAAATAATTTATCTGGAATGTTACGGTTTATTTTTTCATACTGATGGGCTAAGACATATAACATTAAATTGCAGATCAAGATAAATCAAAATATGATTCTAAAGTAGAAGCTATGTTAGTGTGGACTCCAAGTATTACCATTTCTGATTCAAAAGGTAAATCAATTTTTTATTTAACATGATTAGACCAATTTTTCTCCGAACCTGCTTACAGTGTCAGATGCTGTTTTTAAGTTAGTAAAATACACTGTTGATCTACTGATTATTGTAATAATTTCTAAAAGAAGTATCATAATAAAAGGATATTGTGTTTTATTCTAGTTGATGAGTATACTATAATAGCTAAAGAGAAACATGGCTATAACACAGAACAGGTATTTAAATTTTATTACAATATTTTATGTGATTACCATCAAGCTTTGATAATTTGATTAAGCTTGCTGACAGGTATATGTATCTCTTGGACAGTTTCATGAAGACATGATAATAGTAAATATAATATGTTGTGTATATTAACCTAATTTCAGGCATTGGGAATGTTATTCTGGCATAAACATAATGTTGAGAAGGCTCTGACAGATTTAGCTAATTTTACACCTTTTCCTGATGAATGGACAGTTGAAGATAAAGTCTTATTTGAACAAGCTTTTAGTTTCCATGGCAAGAGTTTTCACAGAATTAGACAAATGGTAAGGAAGGACTTTAAAAGAAAAAAACTTTTCTTTCTGAAATGATTCAGTTTTTGTATAGAAAAACATTGAAATTCAACAACCAGCCTCAGATTCTTTTTACTATTTCTAATGAAAATACAAATTTATTCTAGTTCTCCATTCATGTTATTTTCTAGTTACCTGATAAGTCTATAGCTAGTCTTGTTAAATATTATTATTCCTGGAAGAAAACCAGATCACGAACCAGTGTGATGGATAAACATGCTAGAAAACATGGTCAACAACGAGGAGAGGATGATAGGTTAGTTAATTTCTCTATAGGTTAGGATTACAAATCTATCTTTTCATATAGGACATCGTTATAAGCGGAAATTTTCATGAAAATTTGTGTAGAGTATTATACATAAGATCTTTGACATAAACAAGTTTTCAGTATTATTCTACAAATATTTCCTGAGTTACAGCCCTTGATTTACTAAAAATACTAGCAACTGCTTATTGATGAATTTGAAGTCAAGTTTTCATTCTGATTTGTGGAATTAGCTGAAATTGTCAATTTCCTAAAATGGCCTTTAATGATGTAGACTCATTTATCATAGATAAACAATATTATAAAATTTGATTTTAGTGAAGGTGGATCAGATGATGGTAGTGATAATTCTGATAGTGAACATGATACAAAAGAAAATGGGGTGAGTTATTTAGTCAACATGTGTCATTTATGCCATCATTTGTCTTCTAAACCAACATACATCATCTAAGCCAACATGATTGTGTCTACTGTCATCTAAGCCAATCTGATTTAAAAGGCAAAACTTGATGTTTCTCTTTGTTATTTTTTCTGTGGGTGACTTCACATGTCATCCATAATCTGATACACACTGTTAAACATTTAACATTCTAATCATTTATATTTATAGAAAGATGATAAGAAGTCGTGTTGTAATTGTGGTATTACTACATCTCAGATACATGTTACTCCCAAAGGTTCAATGTGTGCTGGATGTTACCAATATTGGAGGTGAGACAGAGTTGTCTTTTCTTAAAACTATTTAAAAGCTATGTATCATTTATATCAGTGATCACATCAGAGTTTTCAGTGATATATATGGTCACTTTTAGAAATTAAAAAATTTTGATACCAAAATTTAAATGATTATTTTCCAAAAAATGGAAGTGTTAAATACTAGTCTGTTCTATTTTATTTTAGACGTCATGGTGTAATGAAACCAGCTAATTTAAGAAGACATGAATCTCAATCTCACAATCGGCACAATCCCATCAAACATAAACGACGCCCACCTAAAGGAATGTATTTGAATCAAGAAGACATTATGGCTATGGTATCTGGACCACCTGGTCAACCAGAAAGTTTATTGAATTCTCTGGATGCTGAACTTGTCTCGTTAAAACGACAGGTAAATAATGATAAAGTAAATACAATTTTTTATTGTTTTTGATGTCTCGTTGTTATGTGATCTGTTTTTTAAAATTCTTGTTATAATTACATTTGGTTGTTTGTTTGTAATTAGGTAAATTATGTTTGTTTATTTCAGGTGCAAAACAACAAACAGATGATTGGTCTACAGAAACATAAAACTGCTAAAGGAATCGATGACTTAAGACCCTCTGAGGTAAATGGTTATATTTGAAATTTTTTGTGTACACTTAATAAGTTTTAAAGAGTTAAATATTGTTGGTATTAGTCTAAAACAACTTTTATCTTGAATACTATGATATTTTGTAGGGTAATACTAGAATCAATGCTCGTTGGACAACAGAAGAACTATTATTAGCAGTTCAAGGTGTCAGGAAATATGGAAAAGATTTTAAAGCTATAGCTGAAGTTATTGGTAATAAAACTGAAGCTCATCTAAGAAGTTTTTTTGTAAATTTTCGAAGAAGATATAATCTGGATGAAGTATTAGCAGAATATGAGGCTGAACATGGTACTGATGATATTAAAGAAGAAATAGAAGATGAGAAAGAAGTCAAGGTAAATAGTAGGTGCAGAAGAAATAGAAATTTTGAATGTGAGATATTTCGCTTCCATACTGTTTGATTGAGGGCTAAATTGGGACAGTTGGAACCTGTTCTGAACTCTCAAATCAAGCATGCTACCTTTGATCACCAGCTCAAATACACTAAGGGAGACAATTTTAAATCAATATTCCAAGACCACAATATGTTAAGTGGATATCTATTCTAACATGAATAAATGCCCAAATTTTCATAGCTGTTTGATATTTGGAATGTTATTATTTATAAAGATGCTTTGTTTATCTAATATGTGTATCTATGTTCAGATGGAAGTTGATAAAGCTCCAGAAAATAATAATACATCTCAACCACCACAGAATAATGGAATAGCAACTGTACCACCTCCATTACTTAAAAACCCACCCACTGGACGTTCTAATACAAATACTTCGTAAGTTTTATTATATTCTTTTGTGAAATATTGTCAAATATGTAATATGTAGAACAATATGGAAGTATTAATTGACATTTGGCATTTTTTATTTGGTAAACTGTATGCTGGACAATAAATATTTCTTTGACTTTTCTTGAATACTTGTTTCTTTGTAGGAGATTGTTACCACAGAAGACAATCTTACAGCAACCCCCACCATTGATAAGACCAACTAACAATACACCAACAGTAGTTAAAGATTAACTTACTTCTACTTACTTAATTTACTTTGTTACGCATGGGTATTTTCGTATTTTGTAAAGTTTTGCAAATATTTCTTACATTTGTGCAAAAAGCTTTTTTAAAATAAATTTCTTTTGTTAGAATCTATTGTAAAAATATCTATAATTTGTCAAATTTATATTTTTGTTTGGTTCTGTACTTATTGAATTTTTATTTTCTTAGTTTATAAGGAAAATTTAGACAATTCAAGTCATCCAAAGGAAAGGAATGTAGATTTAAACTAAGTCTTGTAAAATGAAATGAAGTCTATGGGAATTAAAATTTGGAATATTTTGTTAGGAAGTAATTTGGTGAAAGAGGAAAAGAATAGTTCGATCTGTATATTTTCAGTCTAAAGTATGCTAATGAGATGTTTGACTTCAATTTCTCTTTATATTAAATGTTTATCAGTAGAGTTCAATTATGATATTGATAGTCATAAGTTAAGATACAGATTTTAGTGAAAAGAACCAAATTTTGAATATATTCAATCAGTGTTGAAATGTCAAGAATTAGTTTTCCATGTGTCAAAGTTCAACTTATTATAAAAGTATATAAATGTATTCAGAGCTAATATCAACTATTTCATACTGAGTTATTGCATCAATTCATCTTTGTTGTAAAGGTACATGTATTTCATCTTTGTTTCTTTAACTGTAAATATATAGAATATTAAATTATTCATCAAACTTTCACTTCTTTAACTTATTATTGATTCAACTGCAATATCTAGTGATATTAGGGGCAACAGTGGAACAATGTGATGAAATCACAGTTAGGGACAGACTAAAAAGGTCACATGTGATTTGCTCAGATCATTTTTTGCTTGTTTCAGAATTTTCACCTTGACAAAAGCCAAATTTGGCAAAACTTTTGGTATTGATAAATAGCTGAATCTTCAATGAATACATCAAGACATGTCTTTTGGTACTATGTACAATACAGTCATGAAGATGGGAAAGCCTCAACTGTACTTTTGAGTTAGGCATAACTGTGATACGTCTGTGGAACAGTCAGGCTAATCAATGACCAATTTCTGTTTTGGGACATAAAACAACAAAATTTGATGTTTATGGTTTATTTGATATTTTTAAGCAAATACAAAACCTGGTGAAGCGACCCAGTAATGATGGGGAAAAGCACATAAGGATTTGAAAAAGAAACATAAGATGTTTTAACATGGCAGAAATTATGCACAGAGAAACAATTTTGAGTGCTAAATATGATGAAATGGTGTAATACATTATAGACTACATTCATGTTTATATTTATATCATAATGTGAAGAGAATACAATGATGGCACACTAAACATTATACTAAATGATTAGAAAGGTCACAATGATGTTGTAATTAATGAAATGGCGTAATTAATTATATTTATACATAAATAATTATACAGGCACTGAGCTTCATTATAGACTACTACTGCTCATAAAATAAAATGATTATTAAAAACAATAGAAAAATCTACAAGCATATTCAATACTAAACATGATTTGACTGGATGAGAGATTAAAATAGAACGTTTTATTTTCCTTAAAAAAAGGAAACCAAAAACTACAACAAATCAAAGCAAAAGTCGCTTTGGTTTTTAAAAGAAAGAAACTTGAATCCTTGCACCATGTTTCCCATCCACTGTTCTCAAATACATTGTAGTAACATTAACAATAATAACACAACCCAACAATTCAATTAAAACACTACAATTCATACACAAAAGCTAATATTTACTACTAACATTGCCTTAATGTTAAAAATATTACAACATTTGTCTTTTTTTACTATCTACAATCAAGTTGTAATGACTTATATTCTCACAAGATCATGTGAAAAGCCAGAAATTGAAAATAAAATAGGCAATATTAGAAATAGTTGATAAAACATAACAGATTAAATATATATATTAAAGTGTCACAAATACATTATTTCGGTTATACAAGATAACACTAAAATCACTACCGAGTTAGGTTGGTTTCATCTTTAAAACATGGTCAACACTTTCATTTCTCCAGCTAAAACGGTCTAAAGGATATCAGTATAATAGATCAAGAAATGTTGACAGCGTAGCCAGGCGAGTCTGTCTGCATAGATGGAATGCAACTTAAAGACAGATATAGAAAGTAGTCAATGAAATGAAAAGATAAATGACATTTCTTACATCTTATTTTATAAGCACTCTAGTTCCTACTTATTTACTTTTCCTCCTTTCGAAAACCCTGAGGAAAAGTTTCGAACTTTGTCTTTTTCACTAAACTGCTATGAAATTTCTGAAGCAGTCTGCTTTGAATAGAATCTGTCCTGTAACGTGTATGTTTTTACATTCATGGGCTTCTAAACTCTTTTTGCAATGGTTATAAAAGCATTAAGAGGCAAGAAGAATGCAAATGAAAATTGAGTCACTAATTTGGAATGTTTTATTATTGGCACATTCCATTAAGTCTAAATTGATCCTTGGCAATTAAAAACAGTTTACACAATAAAATTACTAAAACGTTGTTTAAAATGATTTTTATGTGATTATTTTCTAGTATATATGGAGGTTAATTAAATGCCATATCAAATTACTCACTAATAAATAAATGCTGTTAATATTATACAAGAAATGTTGAATGTCTTCTCCATTTATAATTTATTGTTTGAGATTCTATTCAAAGCATTATGCCACTAGGATTATTTTGTCATTTTAATTTCTATTTCAGTTCTATTTCTTCTTTAATGTAAAAAAGCTACGTTTTTTGTGTTCCTCTTTCTTAGACTCGTCTGTACGGGCTGGCAGTGTTTGTGCTCGTGAGGGCATACTTGCAGCTCCTTCACTACCTGTTGATCCATTTATACGTAAAATCCATGTATCACGTTCAGTCTGAAAGGAAAAACACAGATAAAGACATATAGTGAATTAACATATCATCAAAAAATAAGAAAAACCTTACCTATAGATACAGAAATTCTGAAAATGACAAAAGTGTCCAGAAAGTTATGTGTAAGATATTCTTATCCATTTAATATCACTGAAGACTTGAATATAGATCAAAACACATGATCATTAATTAATATGAGAACTTACATCATCTTTAGCTTGGAAGAGATATTCTCCACCATTGACTAATTTTAATCTGAATACTGATGGGCGTTTAGTATAATCAGTAGCAACATAACATGATGCCCCCTCTAATTCTATAGCTGGTTCATGATGGATACGATTCTTAGGATCCTGCAATAATATAAAACAATAAATGAGAAATAGCCTGTAGATATGATATACTGAATTTAGAGCCTCAGATAATAATAATAAACTTCTTATATTTGGCTTGCCCCAATTTTTTTTGTTATATTTTCATGATGTTTTTCTCTCTGCACCTTTTAACAGAAAAATCTTGTCAACAATTTAGAAGTAAGAATTAATAATTAGATATGATTACTTACTGATTTAGCATGTTTCTGATCTTTATAACATGATAATTGTGTACCAGATAATACACTATATACTTTATCCCATGATCTACAAACATATTATATAAATCATTATTAACAGTATATCAATAGTAAATATTGAAATATTAATTACAATACAGTGCAACATTCTAACCATCTAGCGCAGTGACCATCTCACTTTTTATTAGTATCAGAATTATCAAACTAAAATAAATAGTTTTACATCCTATTTTCTGAATTGGCTAGATAGTTCTTACTTTTTACAGTTCTGAACACCTATATTTAGTACTTTTTAACAATATTTGAATGCAATTTTTTTTACAGAGAGAAGCACAAGGAGTAAATTTTGGTATAACCTAATATTTCACCATCATTGTATTGAAACATTACAAGTTATTAAAGAAGTGATAAATACAATGAATAGGTTTTCAGTAGAACAAAGCAACTTACCTATTTCCAGCTTTCTTATCACTTGATTCCCATTCATGTTTTCTAACTAACATTCCTTCTTCTCTTGGTACATCACCTGCTGATGCTTGTTCTATAAATAATATTTAAAACATCTTATTAATACCTTACACTTGATCAAATGAACTTGGGGATCCATAGAAGGCTAGAAATTGTTAATTGCATAAGTGTCAAAATCTTTGAACTCAATACATAAATTTGGTAGTAAAATAGTAGATTCATGAAAAGAAAGATATGGGATTCAAAAGATATCATTTTTCTATAGTTCCTTTCCCCTAATGAATAGATTCACAATGGATTGTCCCAAATTTCATAACATTATTGTAGATGACGTAAGTTGTATTGTCCTAGAATGGTATGTCGATTTCCGATGCCACATGGTTAGCCTCCTGATGGTGTCAATTTGTGAACACATCAATAGTTGTAGAAGAAGAATTGAGCATGTGTTGTTTGAAGAAAGGGTGTATAGAGATATACAGACAAATATAGTGTCTCTAAGAAATAACATAGGTCATCGGCTCTAACTACTTAACAATGTCTAACAGATCAACAATATCCAACGTTCCTTTCTTGTATTCAGTAAGTCAATAATCTGAAGAACCTTCCAGTCACTTTCCTCCTCCCAAACATCAAAACAGAGTAGAACACCAACTAAATACTTGTCTAAAATCTAGTTTATCTACAGAACATCAACCTACTAGAGACCACCATTTAGAAATAGACAAAGACTAGACCACACCCTTGACAGGACCAGAGACTAGAGCCTAGTGTGACCAGTGATCAGACAGACCAAGATAGCAGTGCTGTGATCATGATAATAATCATATAGACAGAGAGACTGAGAAATATCTAAAATATCACTACAAATATTCTGTCACCATTGGCAACTCAAAATGGTTACCAAGGTAAACAAATTACCTTCATCATCTTCGACTTCATCTCGTTTTCGCGAGAAGAATTTTCCAAATGGAGATTTGGAGCGTGATCTTTTCTTGTCCTTTGAATCTATACAGAAATGGAATGGTATTTTAAATGAAATGAGTGTATCAGATCAACACCTTAAACCAAGACAAGCTAAATGCTTAAAAACAATCTAAAGCTACCTTGAACACTTTTCAACTCCTCACACCACAAATTATCAAATCAATTTCATAATACCCTTTCAACCAGAGGGCAACAGCCAAAAAAAAATCAATAAATAAAAAACCCCAAAAATTCACAACATTTATCGAATGAAACAATAAAAAAAGCAAATTAACCACAAACCATCAAATTATAGACAAAAACTAACATAAACCCACATATCAAAAATAAAAAAGATAAATTTATAAAAGTCATAAGAGGTAAGAATTGTCATCATGCAAAAGGGATAAAGGTAAACTAAAAGAGAATAATAGGGGTAGAGTAAACAACAAACAAAACAAGTAAACAAAATAAGCATCATTCTCCTTGTAAAATCTAATTTCATATTTTACTATAAATAAATCTCTGTAGAATTTTGAAATTTTAAGCTCACAAGAAATTTAAATTTTTTGTTGATCAGATATAATAAGAAAGTTTACATTTAACTTCATGAGAGTTATCTCTTTTCTTTTCTAAAAGCACAAAGTAAGTTTATTTCAATCTTGTGACACATTTTCAGGATTCTTGTGAGCTTCATTGTGACCTAAATTGACGTATAGATATAACCACTCTCCAGTAATAGAGTTAAAAACCTACTGAATGAAGATTGTGGTGATGCTGCTGGTGATTTACCAGATTTGGGTGAATCTGGTGATTTACGAGATATGGGTGAATCTGGTGATGTAGGTGACAACTGTCTTCGTGCAGGTTTTGTAGCTGATTTTGGTGTTGACACATCCCTGTCCATCTCTGTTAGACAACACATCATGCAAAACAACATGCAGAACATTACATTAACAACATTAATACTAGAGGAATAATTTATAGAACTTTTCATTGGAAAAATTCATAAAAATATATTCCTTTGATTTATCAAAATACAGATTCAAATTTCAAATTAGTATGAGCTTATTGTCGAATAAAGACACTTGTCAAATTTAAGGAAAAATCAAATTTTAACTAAAAGTAAAGCAGATTGTTCACTTTTATCCTTCCTGAATTTGCACAAGCTATGAGCTATGAAAAATTTAAAAGCTTTCTGAATTACTAATAAGTTTAACTTTGATCGTATTTTGTTAAATCAATAAAAAATCTCTACTTCTCTAAAAGAAAATGTCATTTAAAAATAATTGTGATTATGAAAATGATGAAATGAGTTAAAAGTGAATTAATTCATAAGAGAAAGAATAAATAAGAAAAAATTGGAGAAAAACATTCAAATTGTTAGAATTGTTAGTTGACTGAATGAAATGAAAAAAAAAACAAGTTCAAAAATTGTAAAGGAAGAAACATCAAAATGGCAAAATTTGCCCTTCCGTTGATCAGCCTGCACACCTCAAAAACCATGACAACCGACTAGCAATGATAATAGCATCAAACTTCAAGTCATAAACAATACAAATCATAATGGTATTCTCAACATTAACTGGTCAAAATTTCTTAAAATCCTATCACCATTCAGTGATCATTTATAATATTAAAGACATTTCTTTTTCTTCTTTTACAAAGTCAAAATTAGTTTCAGCTTGAGAATAGTACTGACAGTCTTAGACTAAGCACTCATACATCTAATTACCATCTTTCTATTGAAAATATTTTGTGGGCATCCTCATTTTGAATAAATTAATCTAAGACCACTAATATTTTTAAAGATGATAGTGACTTCATATGAAAAAAAAAAATCAATAAAAATATGATTTATCTGTATTTTGCTTTCACATTCAACTCCATATTAATTCAGGCCATTCATAATCATCACAAGATGAATTCACAATAAATCTGTCCCACCCTTCAAAAACCCAATTTGCCCTACCCCACAACAATAATATACCACTAGTTCTAATATCACAACATTCAGCATGTGAAGATAGCTTACGTTTTCTTTGAGTTTTTTCCTTACTCGTTCCTATAGCAAGATGAAAGCAAGTAAAATAAAAAAAAAAGAAAGAAATAAGCCATGATGAATGATATTGTGAAATGTTAATCCAATGTTTTTATATGTTTATGTTTGTTATATATGAAGGTAATGATATTCTTTATTGGCCTAAATGCACTCTGAAATATAAACTGACATTTTTTTTAAGAGAATAAAACATCTTAATATTTGCTAAATCAACTGATAGAACTAAATTCAGTTATGTGTATCATTTTTAAGAATTCCCATTCTTCTACAATTTAACAAAATCAATATAAAGAAGATACCGATCATGATATTAAAGTTATAACTGCCCCAAAGAATTTCAAGAAAACAGGATGTCAGATTTATCAGCTAATAAGTAAATATTTATGAGTATTTTCTTTAAGATTTCCACATACAATAGTGGTGCTATTTGTGGTGCATACAGGCCAATATGTTATGTTTATATCTGATATATTATATGTAGTAAGTTTTAGTATTTTAATATTTTTTTGTTGATATAGAAAGATTTAGATATATCCACACCATAATGAATGATAATTTAGTAAAAATGATAGAATGGTTTATGGATAAAATTAGTATATAGCTATAAAACCAAGTCCAGAAAAAATGGCAAATGAGATTAATGACATTTAAAAAAAAAAACATGGTAAAAACTATCTTTTCCTAATTAGTTAATTTCACAACATGCCACTATTTTTCAGCAGATATTTCGGATCTTTTCATCTGAAACTATTTCAATAGGCTGACATGTTTGTCCATCAGATTTTACTGAGATCAAAGCCTAAAAGTAATTCATAAATATGATTGGCTATCACTGTTCAAGTTAAAAGTCAATTTCAATATGAAAAGACCTGATGTAAAAGACAACATTGATGATAGAACCATTATCCAGTAATACATTACCTGGTGTTAATTCAGCTTCCTTTTCACTGCTACTGACCATAGTTGAATCATCTCCTGCACCTCGTTCTGAAGATGAGGCTAAGCCTTCTGCCGATATTTCTCTAACTGGTTCAACTTCAGGTCTATAAGTATAAGAGGCATCTTTGTTGATACTGAAGTAGGACATGACCAACTGATGAAAGTGCATCATCTAAGTGTGCAAATGACATAAAAAGGCTATCAGCAGAAAGTGCTGCAAAATATAATAATAAAGCCAGCTTATTCACACCTTCAAAGATTAGAAATTTAAAAAAAAACTTACATTGGTTCTGGTGGTGGTAAGAATTCTTGAATATATTGACGTCTTTCAGCTTCTTTTCTCTTAGCAACTTCTTCTGGATGAGCTCTATTATATTCTTCTTCTTGTCTCTTCTGTTGGTCTTTTAATTCAAACTGAAAAAGCAAAGATGTCATTTGTCACTTTTAAGAATGGACAGAATTCCTTTTAAACAATGTAAGGCAATTTGTTGATTTTCTGATACAATTTTAAGAATGTAAAATATTGAGTATGAGTGTAAAAGTTAATTTTTACAGATTACTTACTGTTGTTAATTTCTCTAAAGCAGCAAATCTTTCTTCTTGCGTAGCTGCAGATTTTTCAAATGCCTCATGTTTCTTGATGAGGATCTCTACTTCATCTAATGTTTCTCCTAAATCTTGGTTGTTTAGATAAGGATCTTGAGCCATCAACCAAGTCTCAGCTACTGAAGCATCTCTAGCAAATTGATAGACTTCTAATATAAGTTGTAAATGTTCCCATCTATCTGTCCATTGGTCAGTCATATCTAACCTTTGTAGAGTTAGTTGGATTAATTTTTCTCTAACCTATAATGATTATTTACAAAATCATAATAATCCATACATCAAAATTTCAAACCACTGAAAACAAGTTCTGAAAACAGCAATGAATTTTCTAAGAGAGGTAAAAAAATCCTTACATACTACAGTATCTATAGCTTAAAAGGTAATAGAAAAAAGGACAATAAATTGCATTAACACTAACTAGCCAAGAGAGATATTTTCTAAGACTATCAACAAATAAATACATATCTATACCTCATCTGATCTGTAGTGATTTCTGGACAATAAATCTCTTCCTAGATTAATACAGATAGCAAAATTCTCTTCTCGTGCATCAATTTCTGCTTTCAAACTCTGATGGTTGTTCATTAATAATTCAACACCAGATACATCTCTACAATACAAATATAACTTTGGTTAGTTTTATTCCCCTAATTATTGAGATAGTTGTAAAAAAAACACCTATCGCAAGCACTGTACACCGCATCAGAATTTTGATGAGATGAAAATGCTAGGTAGTGACAAAAACCTAATAGAAACCACCTCAAAATAAATCTCATTTCTATGTTTAAAATGAGATTCTTTCAATAACTATTATAAAGCATAAATTATTAATGGGGCAAAACAATTCATGAACATTTTTCAATATTATTTTGATTAATAATGACCATTATTCCCCAAACCTTCCAACATGTTATATATTTGATGACAACTGTCCAATGAGAAACTTTCCGTGAACAGTCGTGATCATTTGTCCAATAATGTTTGTCATGTTTAAGTAAGCTTACTTATAAAAGAACAAAGTCTAACCTTGGTTTTTCTTGAGTATTCATCTGTCTCTGTATATCATCCATCCATAATCTTAAATCATGGGCCATGAGGAAGAATTTATATAAATCACTAGAATCAGCTAGTTGTGTTCTACGTCTATCAACTGTTATATGGAGATTTTTCCATGCTTCCACAACCTCAGCTTCTCTAAATTGTATATCTCTAGCTCTATCACCAGCATATGCTGATTGGAGTCGGTAGGATTCAGTTTGAATTGCTTCAACCTAAAAAAAAATGAAACATTCATCATGAAGGGTAGATCCAATAAGAGCGTTGAAATTTTTACACAAGATCATTTGCCTGGTTAAGAGTCAAACAATTAACAGTCGAGGTTATAATTTTTAAATCTTATTTAAATCAATCTATGATAAAGAAATAAACTACTTACTTGGTGACCTAATGTAACTAAATCATTTTCAAAGTTAGCATGTTTTCTTTGTAATGCTGCTACAGATTGAGCATCACGGCCTAATTCTTCTGGTATTTGATGTTGTTTTTCCTGTAAACAAAATAACATATGAAATTATAATTTACCTTAACAATGCTTCATTTTTTGTATAATCAAATTTTTGGGTTTCACAACAAGCAAATTGGAAAATTAAATTTACTCTAAAGCAGTCATTTTCAAATGGTGTGATCATCATTAGGGTTATGTCCATAAATTGTAAAAATTTAAATTTCAACATTCATTTTTTTGAATTTTGCGTCTGCCCCACTATAGGGTAATGAAGACAGTCCTATCAATTATAGTCAACTCACCAGAATATTTTCCAAAGTATCTTTACAATCTGAACAGTATTTGTGTAATTCCCAGGAAGCCTGTAACATCTGTGTTCTAGTATCTATTAATTCTAATAAATCAGTCCATGCTTCATTCACTTGATCTTTATATTCTGCTATGGTGGCTGAATCCGAATGATCAGCAGCCATCAAATTATCACATACTTCATTATTAACTGATATTTTCTCTTGTCCAATAATTTCAGTTTCTCTAGCAAACTCTCGGAATCGTTCTTTAAGTAACTGAAATAATTACAATAGTATAGTTATATAGTTGTATATATATACAAAAATATAATTATGTGAAAAAATCTTTCATGCTGTCTTACAAGAAGATATTTCTGATACTGTGTTTACTTGATTGATATAGCCCAGGAGAGTGTTAATGGCAAAACATCAAGGCAGAGTAAACTTCTACAACAATTCTGGATGAAAAGGACTTGAGATGGAGTACAAACAAATATTCCGACGACCATTTCTGTTAAAAGTGGTCATACTATAATGATGTCACAATGAAAATTGTCCCTTTAAAACTCAAGATGCAATTTGTCCGCATTGACTATACCCAAAATCATTGGCAGATATTGTTAAAAAATCAGATGTGAATAATGAAATGAAAAACTTACTGTAACATGTTCGAAGTCCACTCCAGGATCATTGGAATTAGCATGTATAGATTTTTCACTTATCCATTGTAATAGACCTTCTATTTCACGATGTAAGGTATATAATTTTAATACTTCAGCTAATTTACCACGTCTTTCATTGGCTAAATCTTTTAATCCAGCGTATAGCTTATCAACTTGTGATTGACGTACTGCTATCTGATCACTGTAATAAACATAATTAACATTTCAAAAATTTTACTAATGTGAACCTTGAAATCTTACTGTAACTTAATCTAAAAAACATGGTGAAACATGGAAATAAATAAATTCATATGTGCTTTAACTAACTTAGTGATCTAGTTAATTGATAGGTTAATCACTACAATTGATTTTAAACTAATATATATCATTTATTAATAACATGGCACTAACCATTCAGGATGGTCTGTTTCTAATAAGTTTCTACTTCTTTCACCAAGTTGTCGAACAACATCAGCATAATCCTCCACAGCATTCTCTAATATCTGGTGTTTCTTCATCATATTCTCTGATCCTATCTCATCTTTAGCTCTATCTTCACCCATCATATATAGTTCTTGTTCACTCATCCAGGCTTCAGCTTCATTAGCATCGAAGTAGTACTGTAAAAAAATAAAAATAATGCTTAACTTTTCTCTGCATCTTGATGGGCTTTATGCTGACAGCATACAATGTCCTGTTGGCAGGTCAGCAGCACATCTTTTAAATTTTCAATAGCCCATGGACTTAATGTTCAAAGCCTGCGATACCTAAGATTTTTGGTTTAGCATCCCATATGATGATAGAACTGGGCAAAGGACTAAAGAAAGCAGTTCAAGTCAATGATCTACTGGATTTAAGTGTTTTGCTTGACAGTATGAATGTGAAAATCTTGAAAATGGCAAGATGGCATGTGATAGTAATAAAAAATGTTGGCCACAGATCAACTGAAAGCAAGCAACCAAAGAGAATAAGCACAGTTGTCCTTGTCTAAAATATCCAACAGTTAATAACTAAACACCACCAACCTGTTGTGCAGTTTCAGAAAGGACCAATCTGTCTCTTCTAGCTTCAACAGAATCTTTTAATTCTTGCCATCTTTCCATTAAATCAGCCATAAGACTAGAGAATTCTTCTGATTGTGGGTGACCTTCATCAATAAGTTCTTGGCCGACATCGCATATAGATGTTATACGAGGTTCATGATTTTCTATTTCACGTTGAAGAGACTGTAAAATAAAGAAAAGCAATGATAACATTCCTTACATCTGAAATCACAAGAGATAAAATTGTGTTTTAGGATCTACATTTTAGTACCTGTTTGGGCATATGAATATGAGGATGGGCCATATGCCAAGAAGAAAATTTTGCCAGGAAAGCAGCATTGGCCTTATTTTTCTATGAAATAAATGTGCTCTATGCAATCTAAATGCTAAAATAAAACTAATATTACACTATAAGAAATCAACAGCATACTGTTCTGGATTATGATTATAAAGACACCATTAACAAAATAACAAGGCCACAAGAACTTACTTGATTTTTCTTAATCAGCAGTTGTACACTAAGTAAACTATTACCATAGTCAGTAGAATTAGCCAATGGTTTCTTTTCTTCAATCCATAATTTCTCATCTTCTATATCTCTTGTAAATTGATGTATTCTCTTCACTTTCTCTAGTTGATCTCTTCTTTGGATTAATGGTCTCTGTATTTTGGCAAATCTGAAATAATAATGACACAATTACATAAATATTTTAACACAAATGAAAATCTTTCAACTCATTGAACACTACTGGCAGCACTACAGACTGCCGTAATATGTACCTGAGTGATCATTGAAGCATCTTAACCAAGTTACGTTAGACGCTTAAAGTCAAAATACTTGGAGTTGAGGGAAAAAGGGTTTTTTTTTATTGTGTACAAATAGGTTAAGCAATTAACTTTAAGAAGACAAACCTGAAATATTTTTGAAATAAATTTGATTTTACTTTAAAATACTGATATGCACCAATATATAACACATCATAACCAATATACAGGAATCATAATTAAAGCGGTTTTACCTTTCGGCAACTAGAGCCTTTCTAGCCTCTATTTCTGCCTCTCTATCTGGTTCTAGACGTTTAAGATGGACAGCTTGTGATTCTAATTCTTGTACTTGTTGTTCTTTCATCTTCATTTCATTTTCCATCATCTAGATAATACAATAGTAATATATACACATCTATATATAGGTAATTATTACATTAACTTCCAAGTTAAAAAATCCAGGAAATTTTTTGTATTATATGTCTTTGGGTTTATAAACATTTTGCAAGTTTTTATTTGAATGCAACACATTTGCACATAAAATGGCTCACATACTCATTTTAGTATTGGTTTGAATCAACAAATTAAACAACAGTCTCAACAGTTGGTAAGTTTTATATAAAGGCAACTAAACAAAGACATAATGGCAACTGGGTCAGGGAATGTACAGTATCTACATGACTTACATTTTGTTTCTGTACCAGTAGATTAACAGTTGTCAAATCTTTACCAAAATCTTCTGATGTAATAACTTGAGATTCAATAGCATTGATCCATCCATCAACATCATCACAACTCTGAGTGTACAATACTGATCTATTGGCATCAAACAATTTCTCTCCTTTACTCTTAGTAGTTTGTTCTAAGTTATCCCATTGACTATCTATATTTTCTAACATTGGTCCAATCTGTTCTTTCATTTCTGGTTTATTTCTCATTAACTCTTCTCCTTCCTATAAAAATACATAAAAAAAAAATACAGGGTAAAGGCAAATGAAGTTATATACCTTCATATTTGAAGCATTCTGTGATAATATATATCTATATTTATAATAAAAATTCGTAAATGCAGGAAAATTAACGGCCATATACATAATAATACTTTATACTATGCGGATAAATTGCAATTTCTGTCAACTCTAGTACATTGATCCACTTTAGATATTGTATCAAATGATTCTATAATAATTATCTAGGTCTCATTCATTTCTTTAATATCTACTGAATTACATACCTTCTTGATGGCTTCTAATCTTTCTTTATTGGCAGCAATTTCTGATTCAAATGCTTGATGTCTCATGTATTTACTATGAAGATTCTTAGCATCTCTGTAAGTTTCATCTTGAGCTGCAGCCATTTTATCATTCAGCCAATCATTGAGCTGGAAACAAAATACATTATATTAGTAAATATATATCAAAGATTATATAGAATGGAAATTTTCATTCTAACAGTTAAAGGCACAATCCAAAAATCAAGAAAAAAAAAAATTTGAAAACTTATATGTTATATCATCATCTGCTGCAGAAATTTTTTAAGTGGGATATATATTAAAGTTAATTTGTAAAATGTTGATAGATAGAAATCAGATGGCTGGAACTTCACCAATTACTGATTAATTAGCACCATCTTTCTTTTTACATGAGTGAAGAGTGACAAAATAATGTACCATGTAAATCATTAAATTTAACTTGATATTTCCTGAGGAATGTGCTGATGAGAGATGAGGATGAAAGCTCAGAATTTAAACAGAATCTAATTCATTATATATGCTGTTTGTTTATGAATTACTGAATGGATGAAATATCAACAAGAATAATTTGTAGAAACATCTCGACCCTATCTGGGTTTTCTGAACTCTATCTGGATTATCTGAATTCTTATCTGGGTTATCTGAACTCTATTTGGGTTATCTGAACGCTATCTGGGTTATCTGAACTCTTATCTGAGTTATCTGAACTCTTATCTGGGTTATCTGAATCCTATTTAGATTATCTGAAAGAGCTAAAAAACCAACCTCATCCCATTCTTGTATAAACTGTTGCATCTGTAACTGTTCTTTAAGTTTAGCCAGTTGTTCCTCAGATCTCTGTCTATTAGAGTCTCTTCTTTCATTGATGTTCTCAGCCTTCTTCTGGATCTTCTCAGCAGCAAAATGATTGTCTTCAATAAGGCGGTCAGCGAAATGACACACAGCATTGATCTTCTCATCATTAGCATCCATAGTAGTAGCAAAGGCATCATGGCGTTTGATCAGATTTTCAGCTGATTGTACTGAATTCTACAATGAGACAATTTCAATGTTTAAGATATTGGACGCTATAAATTCCAGTATAGTGATTCAAACACCAAGGAACAATCAGAACATGAATATTTGAGTGCACTTTCAAGGAACTACATAAAATAGAGAGCAAATTCTTCATTGCTTACGTCCTGTGCAAAAATAAACTTGACAGGAACTACAAATCAATATGTAAATTTTCTTGTACAAAATCTATAGAGAAAGATGTTTAGTAAACACTTGGGAGCACATTTTGTTAAGTATTTGCATTTGCATAATATGTTAATAGAATAAACTTTAAAAAAGATGCTGTATTCACTAAAATAAAAAAAATTAATACTGAAAAAAAAACTGAAAATCAAAATATATATATATATATCATTTAATACCTTAGGTGTTATATTTATATCTTCAGAACAAATAAGCCCACAAATATTATATTAGAACTTAAATCAAAAGGCACACAATAACAAAATAGAATTAAAATTATACATATTAATTCCACATTCCTTGCTTTCTTTGTTAATATACAACAATTATAAAATAAAGAAATTATCAGAAATCCTGGTGGGTCATTGAAAAAAAAATTATGATTAACTGCTATACTACAGGAGTTTGGCTTGAGGTAGGGGCATCTGTTTCATGACTGAATGTTTTAATCTAAATTGAGAGGTGCTCTTCATTTGATAGCATGCTAGTAAAGGTGTAAATACACAAAGGTATATGTATACATTATTATGTTAACCAGGTTGCTTCAAGCAAAGTTCAGAAGATGTGTTTTGTAATATTTGAAACAGATGCCCAGACTAGGTAAGGGTACAATATACAAGTTACCTGTTTATCAGCTAAACCTACTGAGGTCTAAACAACACAAAATACAACAAATACTATCAATATCTAAGCGTAACTTTGACTAATGAGCATATAAACATGCTCTGAGTGCTTGGTTAAAACAATGTGAAGACAAAACTAGGACATGAAAAGCACATTTTAGCAGTACAACAACTTTACAAAATAATTAAATTGAATATTAGCTACAACTCCTCGTGGCTAAATCTGATTGCAGCTTAATTTTATATTGAAGGTAAAATAATCAAAGAGAGATGTGCTGAAAAGAATATGTCCTACAGTGATTTAGATAAAAATATGTTAAAGAATGAAAGAAAGAAAGAAATATAAGACTTACAGGAACATCTTCTTTGGATAAGAAGTTTTCTTGTTGATTCAGCAAGACTTCAGCTTGTTTAGCATCACGTAAGAAAATCTGGTAGTTAAGACTCTGTGAAAGATGTTGTTGTCTGTTCTCCCACATTTGTAATAACTCATGCCAACCATCATCAAGAGCTTGTAATCGCTACAATATACAATTAACCAATACATTACTTATGTTGTTCCTGATACAGTTTCAATCTGGAGATCTTCCATGTACATGCTTTCAAAGAACTGAAATTCCTTCCTGCACGTTCAAGATTTATGGAATCAACCAGACATTCAATACAAGCCGAAAAATTAGTAGGTGTAGACAGAATTCAAAATGGCAGAGAAAAAAATAGATGGGAAAATTTTGAATGTGCCATATTATCCACTTCTGTACCCTTCGATTGTGGCCAGAATTGGAACAGACAGAACTTGTTCAGAACTAGAGTGTCACCTATAGCATTGCTAGAAAAGAAATATACCTGAGCCAAGAACATATGTTGAGGATCAGTTTGTCCTTCAGTTTCTTTATCACCATATGCTTTGATTTTAGCATATTCTGGTGCATAAGCATCAATTTCATCTTTAATCTGTTGATGTTGATTGAGAAGCTTTTCAGCTTCAGCCAAACTGTTGGGAGTGTCTTCTGAAGCAATTGTGGTCTGGGTCCTTGACAACCATTGTTGGAAATGATCGAGACTACCAAGGAAATGTTGTAATTCACTAGCTTCACCAAGTTTCTCATCTCTTTCTTTCAACATTTCTTTAAGATCCATCCAGACATTGTTAATTTCTGCAATCTTTTCTTTGATGGCTGCTGCTTCTTCTGGTTTCTCTTCTTGTAGCATATCAGCTTCAGCCTGTAGAGATTCCAACTGAAAACAACAATTAACATGATCAATCATGTGGTCAATACCCAACATTTCTATTATCTTTTCCACTGGTATACCTTTTTTTTTCAAATGCTGAATATAAACCATACACTAAACTTCTACTGTGCTATGGATAGCTCGGGCATTGTCATCAAAGAATATAATACATTGTCTTACTTTAAAGAACTGTTCCCAAGAAAAATTTAAAATATTACCTTAGCTTCAATAGCAGCTAAATCTCTCTCCATACCACTAAGTCTTCTCTGAAGAGTCATGACACCAGTTAGATCATTACCAAGATCTTCAGTAGACTCAATGATTTTAGCTTTCTCATTTATCCAGCTAATAGTTTCATTACATTCAATATGGAAGTTTTGAAGTCCATGAGATAGATTGATTTCATCACGTTTTTGGTCCACATGTTCTCGAAGGTTGTTCCACCTAAACAGAAAGCAATATTTCTAATAAAATAATATACAAGGTCACCAATGGACAAAGAAAAATAGAATTGATTCGAAATTTTGACTGTCTTCCAAAGTTTTAATCAAATCAATGAAGAGTAAAGGATGAGAGTTAAATTCCAAATACCAAACTCAAGATATAAGTGAAAACATAATTCTATTCAGATCTCCCACATGTCAAAAATCTTTAAGACTCACGATTCTTGTTTCTGATCAATCAGAATTCTTTTTGCTATATGTTAATGATAGGCCATTGATTTCTACAAATTATTTATATAAAGATAATCCATTGATAGAGGCTATGCCTACCTTTGATTGAGCTGGTTTTGTCTACCAATAACATCCTCAGCATTAGGATGTTCTACTGTTAATAACTGTCTTGCCAATTGGTTGACAACAGCAACTTTAGAAGCTGTCGAATTCATCTCGTGCTCATAGCTATCAAAGCGATGTTTCATTATAGCCAATTCTTCAATATCATCAGTCATAGTAATGGTTGTCAGGAATTTCTCCTATAAAACATTGAATGATTTAATAAGTGAATGAATACATGATAACATTTATATCCTTCTCTTCAGCACTTTATCTTGTGAAGGACATTTGGTCAGGACTCAACAGAAAAATGTACAAGGTACAAAGCTTGTGCCACAGCGTTTTAGCCACCATTATCCAATGTGTTCAATTTTTTAATAAGTTGTTTAAAAGAAAAAATTACCTTTTCGTCAATCCATGTTTCAACACCATCAGCTTCGTTAGCTAATTTATATAACGAAAGGGCATCGAGAAGTCTCTGTTTACGCAGTTTAGCTAGTTCTAATAGTTCTTGGTAACGTTTGTCAATGCTACCTAATCTACTCTGTACATCAGCAGATTCACGGTCTTGTTCACCAAGACTAGCAGCTTGTTCATGTAATGCTTCAATGGATGTGTGATAGCTCTTCAATTCTTCTGTAACTTCCTGTTAGGAAGAAAATAGCCAAGATAAAGAGACGATATATCAAAATGATTAAAAAGAAGAGCTATAGTCCTACATTGTCTAAAAGTACAGAGGTTTAAAATCATATATAAAACTCTGTCCTTTTCTTAAAGTCATTTATCAACATCCATCATCATCTGCAGAATTTCCTCAAACATATATATTTTGGAAGTACAACAAATTCAATATGAAAGCTGAAGGTGTCAATTTTAACTTGATGTACGGTAATATAATGGTATTGTACCTTATGTTTTTTAAGAAGTGATTGTACACTAGCTTCATCTTTACCGACATCTTCACTAGATACCATACGTAATATATCTAACATCCATGTATCAACATCATCTGCGTCTGCGAAAAACTGAAACACAAAATAACATAAAATTCACTTTCTATTTCTTCATATGTCTTTTCTAATATGACAGTCTCAAGAACAGGCTTTCAATTATGGTTAATTCTGTACACACATAAGTTTGAAGGATCATATTTTAGTATTACTGATTGGCTAAAAGTTCTGTTTCGGTGCGATTGGTCCAACGGATGGTGAGCATGTCCCAATTGTACTAGTGATCCACACCATCTCTATAGTCAACATGTTACAAGATTTTACCCCAAAAAATGTTGTGTTGTTCAGAAATTAATAAATGAATAACTTACTTGATAGAAATCGACAGCCTCTAAGAGGCGTTTTTTGCGGTAAGCCGCCAAATCTATTAAACTTTCCCATTGTTGGTCAATCTCATCGATTCTTTGCTTTATCTTGTCAGCTCCGAAATTATCAGCTCCAATGAGATCATCACCAACCTGGGTTACGGACTTCAAATGGGAATGGCGTGCAGTCATTTCATCTTCAATAGCCTGTAAAAAGACATTAGAACATTGATTTTACATGTTAGAACAGACAACTAATCAAAAGAAATCAACACCAGCAGAAGATATCTTTAACAACAAATTCAAGTAAATTAAATATCAGACGTTAATCTAACAGATGAAACCATACCTTATGTTTGGAAAGTAATAGGCTAACACTTGTGAGATCATGACCCAATTCTGGAGATGACATGAGCTGTTCTTTTTCTTTAATCCAGCCTTCTTCATCAGCCATATCCCAATAGAATTGCCATAATTTACGTGATTCTTCAAGTCTCTCTCTTCTATCTTTAGCCAGCTGTTCTAGTTCTTCATAAGCTGATTGAAGAGTTGACATACGATCTCTCACCATTTCAGGATCACATGGATGATAGCCTATTACAGAAATTGATATCAGTTACAATCAAACATTTTCTATTTCTTAATTGTGAGTTATCTCCCTTCCACTGATCAAGTGAATTGAATTGCACTATACACCGTACATTGAAGTCTGTTAGCATGGTATATATATGTGTAAAACTACCATCTGTGATTGACTGACATGTTGTTTGTATGTTTTGTACATTGTCTGATAAATAAGACTTTGCTAACATAATTGTCCATTCATGGATGTCAAAACCTGATCATAAAAGACTATGCCAAGTTCAAGCTAGATTGACAAGGCTTTTATCTATATGATTATGAGAAAACCATGATAAATGTGCCAAATTAATGTACTTGTTATTTGTATATAATCATTGCTAATTTAAGTATATACCTGATAGTTCTGGTATATCATCATTAACATATCTTTCAGCCATACCATTAACTGTTTTAACTCGTTCACCTACTACATGTACATCAGCTTCTAATAAACTATGGATTTGTAACAAATCTTCTACACCCATTAGATGTTTACCATAATCTTCTGATAACAGACGTGACTGAGAGAAAAAATATCAAATTGGTTATAGATGAACATCAAACTCAATGTCAGCACACTTTTGTGAATATGGAACTAAAATATGACTGAAAATTTGAAACAAGTTAAGAGAATTATACTTACTTTAATTTCACCCATCCAATCAAGTATGTATAACATTTCTTGGAATACTTTCTGTAAACTGAGTGTGAACTCTAGTCTCATTCTTCTAGCTCTTAATAACTCTAGTAGATAGTTCCATAGGCGTAATACATTGTCTTTTCTGTTGTGAAAAAAAATTAAAAATCATTATCGTTTAGTTACTGACAAAAAGTGTGTGATATATTTTATGGGTGTTTGTTTGCACTGTATCAAAGGATGGCCTCTTGTTTTAATTCAGTGGTACCATTTCAAATCCTGGGAAAAATAACTAGTATCAACCTTACCTTGCGTTAATTCTGACAATATCGTGGTAGTTTTCATGTTCAAGTTCTGAAGCCACTGCAATAACTGCTTGTACTCGTTCTTCATAAGCATTAATATCAGTTTCAATAGCTTCATGTTTCTTAGTAGCAGCTTCTACAGCAGCTAAATCACTTCCGAAATTATCTTGTGACACAAGGCGTTGGTTTTCACTTAACCAGGTCTCCCGCATGCCGGCTTTTCTATCAAATCGGGCAGCTAGCTGCTCCAATTTCTCTTGTCTGAAAAATGAAAGTAATCAACATAAAGTTCTTCAAATATAATATAACCAAGTTCAGATTCATTTCAACCCACTCAAAGCAATAAATGTCTGTGGTAAAGCATGGAAAGTACATTCTTGTTGCTGGATGTATTTCAAAAGTCTGAATTAGCTGTCAGAAACTAACCAAAATCTCAAAAAGTATGTCTCACTACTAACCTTATCAGTTCTTCTCTCAGTGAAAGTTCCCGTTCATGTTCAGCATGCTCTAGACGTTCCCACGCCTTGTTAATGTCCGAAACCATTTTACCTTCTTTAGGAAGGTAGGGGCGTTGATTATTAGCCCTCATTTGACTCTGGATGGTAAATAGAAGGACTTCAAGATTTCCCTTCTCATCAAACCTGAAACAGAATCATTGGTGTTAAATTGAGATGAATATTGAAATTAAGAAAAGGTGATTGTGAAAAAGCAGGTTTCTTAGAACTTGGGTACTTGACCTAATGTCAGATTTTTCTCCAAATTCATGTTTAATGGCTAATCAAAAATGAGTATGGAAATTCTCGCCTCTTTGGGAACAGATAAGAAGACTTACTTGGGGGGTTTCTCTACTATTCTGTAAGTATTAAATGCTGCCAATTGTTGTTGTACACCAGTTAAAGAGTTGGCATATTGTCTATCATTTAATATAACTATAGTTTGTTCAATCCATTCTAATAAATCAGATGTTAAACTTTCATATTCATGAACTGTATTCTCTGAATCTATACAACCATCAATAACCTGAAAATCAAATATTTCAATCAATTTTCAGTGAAACAAACAACAATCAGATGTCAAACTGTGCATATTAAACAGATTTTTGTTGTGCATATGAAGCATTAACTGGTATAGATGTTAGTTTTTGAAATTTACATAGAGAGTTTTAGAAATTTGTGTCTGCACTTAACTTTTGCAATAAAGAATTGGAAAAGATCTAAATAATCTTACCTTTCCAATACGTTTTCCTTGTACGGAATCAGCCTTCATCTTAGAGAAATAATGGTAGTATGTAACAACATAGGTTATAATAGATTTCTCATCAGGAAAGTCCACATTAACATCTTAAATAAAATAAATATATTTTAATTAATAAATAATAACATATGTAATTTATTTGTTTTTCTTATTGATAAGGATTGTATTATTTTTGTAGATAATTTATATTAAACTAGTAGATTTTTTTCTAGCTTAGAAAGGCTCTTGTAATTAATATCAAAGACAAAAGTTCATGAAGGAGACTTGTTCAATCCCAATGAAGGATATTGTTCATATGTTACAAAAGGAACCATTTTCATATCTATATGAGGGAGCTTTGTTCATATCTTCATGAGTCATCTAGCTTATTATTCAATAAGAGCCTTGTTCATCTCAAAGAAGGCGCTTTTTTTTTTTTTACATTTTAAGGGCCTTGTCCATATCTCAATTAGGGAGCCATGTTTCTATCTCAACAAGAGCCATGTTCATATGTAACAATGAATGATTTGTTCACTATTTGTTTTCAATAATGGATACATGTATTTCTGTGACCATTTAAAATTTGTTACCTTCAGCATCAAGTAAAGGAGTAAGTCCAAGTTTATCTTCTGCCACAGTAAAGGCATTGTTAAGATTGTGTATGGCGTTGGACTTCTGTAGTTTTTCATATTGAATAAGATCAGGTCTGAAAAGAGAAGAAATGATATTTAATTCAAGGGTACTATGCCCTCCACAACAAGAACAAACCTCTTGTGATGTTCAACATACATATATTATTATGAAATGCATTTTTAATGAAATGTTATTCAGTAGATTTTGAGGTTATTTATTATCATGAGTTTTCCTATTAAATCAATGGTGTAAGTATACTTGTGTGAACAATACAGAATATTTTTAACCCAACCCATACCAGAGGGTGTGCATTAGGTACAATAAAAGTTCTGAAATAATTCAGCTTGGGGGATGTAAACTATTACTTCAATAGTGATCTCATAAGAGCTTAAAACTTTTTGTCTAATGAGTCATTGGTAAAGCATTCCTTCAAGCTGTCTTAAATGTTCTGCTCTAAAATGCTTTAGCATAATACAAATATTATTAAATATGACTGTTTTAATTTAGTCAGGTGTTACCTCACATGTATATGCAAAATATAAAATTTTGATATATATTTTAGGTGCTACATTCTTATTATAGATACCACAATTTTAGGTTTGATCACTGATGAATAAATGAAAGCTAGACATTTTGTCAGTATAACATTGAAGAATGTCAAACTAAACTCCAATAATCGTCTGATAGCTAACCAAGCAACCAACCTAGTACAGTCTACGCCATATTGCTGTAGAGAATAGTTCAATATTATTTAATCAATATAGGCCTGACTCATGTTCAATTCTACCCAGTCATTTCTCTCTAACATACAGTCTCAATACCTTTCCTAGTTATAAATTGACCTTAAAACGTTACTGGCATGCTAGCTAGCCAGACATTGAATAGAGGTTTAAATCTTTCTCTTCAACTTATTGAACTTATTGTGCAATGCAGGCACATGAGTGGTCTTGGTGGGAGATTTTTGTCGCCAATAAGAGTCTTCAGTAAAATCTTGCGTGTGCCTGAGCTTCCATGACAAGATAATTGTGTCCTCGACAGGATATATAATATCAAACAAGTTTGATAATTGTCTCTGATAGTTTTATCATCTGAAAAACAGACCTTCATCATCCAATCAGATTAATTTTCCTTTCAATTGCATGCTCCGCACATGATTATCCACATAGTGGAAAACGCCATGTGTGCCCGTGCCAGTCTTAAGAAGGCTCCAATAAAAATCTATGACCAAGACCGTTTGTGTGCCTGCACCTTAAGGAAATATGTGGATACAACTCTTTTTTGTGTACTGCACTGTTATAGTTGTCATTTTCAAAAGTTACCCAGATATTGTTGTAGGGTTTTAGATTTCTACATATGATTCATATTTTTCTGTGTATCTTGGTACCATATGGTTCACATGTATTCAAGTATGTAATTTATCAGTATTTATTGACCAAATATAGAAACTTGAAGAAACCAAGTTATTAAAAGCAATCATTTTATTGATTTTCTCCCAAATTCAAATATCAAATCTATCATGTTACATGATATTACACAATAAAAAAAGTCTACAAGAGAAATTTAGTTTCCTTTTTTTCTTAAGAATGACGTTCTTACAATTTTCAGAGAAGCTGACAAACCAAGAATTTTAGAAATTGAAGTTACTGCCTATGTTAACAGAGTTTTGATAAATATATAACTGGTTATAACCATAAAAAATATATCAGACTCAGCAAGAATTATAATATGCATGAGCAATATTCTTGACTGGAAGTCACAAATCCAGTTTTTTTTTAAATATTAAAGACTCAGTATCTACCAATAACTTGTCACTGAAGCATATCAATGTTATTATAATATACATTGTAATATAAAAGATAAGATTTAATATAATATTTAATACATGAGATACATAATGTACTGACAGAATATCTTGATCATATCATTAAAACATGTATGTTATAAATATATTATCTCAAATACAAGAAAGAGTGCATGTTATAAATACTCAAATACTTCCCTTCAACTTTCTTATGAACAAAATATTTAAATGAAGGCGCAACAAATTATGTAGCTACCAAATTTCTGTTGGTAAATTTAGGAGCCAATTCAAAGGGAGAAGTTGAGCTGTTGCCAGATTATACAATAATAAATCTTATAATATAAGAAATATTTCGGTTTATATATTTATATGATAAAGGTAGATATAAGATAAGAACAGGTGTAGTATATAACTAATGGACAGTTATCTGAGATTTAGGTACTACATTAGAAATAGTACCTAAACATATTATTCACTATACACAGTCATTTTGTAGGCAGTGTACATAACCACAGTAATGGCTGATAATTCATAAGAAATTGAGAATAATTACAACATAACATACATTTTGAACACTTATCATCTTTACTAAAAACAGTACATTTCTCTGAAAGACTGGACAATCTAACAAGATGCAGACACTCATCAGTTAATCCAGTCTACATGTAGCTAGTTAATTATTGATAATGTAACCAATAGTTATAATAGATCATTCATCAATTATTGATGACAATGACAATGACTGAATTAAGAGCAGATCAACGTTCACAAGCAAAGGGCAACAAAACAGCAAATCTGAAGAAATTAACCTTCAGCTCCACAACATCTTCCACTAAAAAAAAATCCACTATGGTTGTTAGATATACAACCAATATTTGGAATATACATTGCCTAGATATCAAACCAAAGGGTACTGAAATTCTAGTCAATTTTGGGGGGTAGATCAAAGTGAATGTATATCTTATAGAATAATAAGGAAAAAGATTGTTGAAACATGATGAATTTATCAGGAAACCTTCTTCACAATAGGATATTAGAATGTCAACAATTGAAAGTAGAGTATAGAATGTGCTGCGTGTGTCAAGTTATATTGTTGGAAGTTGGAATGTCTGACTTGAAGTTCTAAATGTCATATAAGACATGTTCTTCTATCATCATAAATAAATACTTTATACAATTCATTCTGACCCATGGGATAAAATGTAGAAGAAAATTTTAAAAATCACAGAAATTCTCTTACAGATATGGAACAAGAACATAAAGATTAGGCTCTGATCCTAGCTGATATCTATTTTGAGTGTAGTTTTGCTTCAAATTTCAAGCAATCTTTTGAGAATTTTTGGGCCAGACTTTGTTCCTTGATGTCATGTTAAACAGACATAAAACTCATCAATTCACGCTTCATATAGTAATAGAGCTAGAACTAGAACTAGTTAATGTATTCTGGAATGTAGAATATGTATTGTTGAAGTGTAACATGCACCTGGTGTACAAGCAACTTAAAACTAGGTAAAATAGCAGAAATGTTGAAATAATCAATCAGTAGGGTAGTTAAAGTCAAACATCAACCTATGTAGAAACAGACAGATCACTGTATAGCCTATTTCTCACAACATCTACCTTCTATCATTTACTACCATACATTCCAACTATCTGCTGTCTCCATGGTAACCAATCTAATCAAAGCCAAGTGATGTTCTCAGAACTGTTGACTCAATAATAGCTTTAATACACAGTTTAAAACTTCCGGGTGTTTATGTTTACCAAATCATGCAGTGCAAGTATTGATTTTGCTGACTATGCATTTAAACATGGTTATCTAAGACATGATATATTGAAGAAATACAATAACAAAAGATTTGGAAGCAGTAAATGTCAGTGAAACCAGAATAGGTTTACTATCAAATATCTACACAACACAAAACATATTGCAATATATCAGATAGGAGATCAGCGCTGAACTAAAATACATTTTATTGCTGTGCACAATTAAATCTGCTTGTATGATTTCAACACAAAAGGTACTTTGCAATGTACATGTTATTTTCCAACAAATTAGAAAACAGATATACCAGTTGCAACCAGAGATAAGGTTAAAACAATTTAATGCTAATGACATAATGAGGTAAAAGTCATTATGTTCACATGATCTATCAAACTATGGAGACTGAGTCATAGTGACCTTCAATAAATTATACCTGACTTAATTCAGAAGTTCAATCCAATGTGCATCAGATTGCTTGCCATAGTTTTTAAAACAAATGAAAAATCAAAATCACAAATCGTTATGACATATTTAGTTCTGATCACAGTATCATTTTGAAATTCTTTTGTATATATTCATAGAATTTTATTGAAATTTGAATTTTATACATCAAGTTGAGACTGTCAGGACACACCCAAAGAACAACAATCTCAGGAAGCAATACTGAAATAGGGTCGCATCATAAAACATTCTCTATGATCCCATCAACTCTTAATACAACAAGGTATATAGTAAGAAAATAACAATATAATAAATACTGGCATTGTGCCATGTCTCAGTTTTTGTAAAAAGATAAGAATAAAAATAAATCCAGACAGACCTAAATAAAACATATTTCACACACATAATGCTTTCATCAAAATCAGAAAAATGTATAGTTCATTGGTTTTAATTAAGATTTTCAAAGGACTGGACCACATCAAACACAGGAAAATTGGCAATTTCCACGGCTGAATACTGGCCAAGGAATCAAAGAAGCACAATCCAACCAAAGTATAATTTTGACGTATATTAAGCACAATCCAACCAAAGTATAATTTTGACTTATATTAAGCACAATACAACCAAAGTATAATTTTGACTTATATTAAGCACAATACAACCAAAGTATAATTTTGACTTATATTAAGCACAATACAACCAAAGTATAATTTTGACTTATATTAAGCACAATACAACCAAAGTATAATTTTGACTTATATTAAGCACAATACAACCAAAGTATAATTTTGACTTATATTAAGCACAATACAACCAAAGTATAATTTTGACTTATATTAAGCACAATACAACCAAAGTATAATTTTGACTTATATTAAAGCACAATCCAACCAAGACAAAAATTCTTTTTATCTTATAAGCAGGGTTTTAAGGTATCATCTGAGAACTTAGATATTACTAGTCACAATAAACGGATTATTTGGGTGTAAAATTAATTAAACACAAAGGCTGTATGTTATTAATTATACAGTGTTTTAGTACTCTATCTCTACACCCAATACATGACATAATGACTCAAATAATTAGTACACATGGCCCCCTTGTAAATTATCTTGATTTAATTATATTTTACCAGCCATTATTGTTGTAGTCAATATGGCCTCATTTATAGATTTGGTAATCTACACTGTCTGGCTAATAATAGCAGACTTTCTCATCTAATGCTGGATTCTTTGTTCCATCAATTCCATAAATTTGTTCAATTTATGCCAGCATAATGGGCTATATACTTATACCGTCATACCAACAAAATTTCAGATACAAGACTGGTTCTTTTTTGATGCAGGTACAGAAAGTTGCTTACCAGACAATAGTTCAGCAGACAAATGCTCACTAAACAGTTGCTCACTGGACAAATGCTCACTAGACAGTTGCTCACTGGACAAATGCTAATGCTAACAGACAAATGCTCACTAGACAGTTTGCACACCAGACAAATGCTAATGCTAACCAGACAAATGGTCACAAGACAAATGCTCTCTAGACAGTTGTTAACTGGACAAATAATCACTAGACAGTTCCACACCAGACAAATGCTAATGCTAACAGACAAATGCTCACTAGACAGTTCCACACCAGACAAATGCTAATGCTAACAGACAAATGCTCACTAGACAGTTGCACACCAGACAAATGCTAATGCTAACCAGACAAATGCTCAATAGACAAATGCTCACTAGACAAATGCTCAATAGACAAATGCTCACAATACAAATGCTCACTAGACAAATGCTCACTAGACAAATGCTCAATAGACAAATGCTCACAATACAAATGCTCACTAGACAAATGCTCACTAGACAAATGCTCACTAGACAAATGCTCACTAGACAAATGCTCACAATACAAATGCTAACCAGACAAATGCTCAATAGACAAATGCTCACTAGACAAATGCTCAATAGACAAATGCTCACAATACAAATGCTAACCAGACAAATGCTCACTAGACAAATGCTCACAACACAAATGCTAACCAGACAAATGCTCACTAGACAAATGCTCACTAGACAAATGCTCACTAGACAAATGCTCAATAGATAAATGCTCACTAGACAAATGCTCAATAGACAAATGCTCAATAGACAAATGCTCACTAGACAAATGCTCACTAGACAAATGCTCACAATACAAATGCTAACCAGACAAATGCTCACTAGACAAATGCTCAATAGACAAATGCTCAACAGACAAATGCTCACAATACAAATGCTCACTAGACAAATGCTCACTAGACAAATGCTCACAATACAAATGCTCACTAGACAAATGATCACAAATGAAATGAGAAATAGAACAATTGCTCACAAACAAACACATTTATATATATGCAGATATATTTTTCTACATGTGTTGGTTGTAATCTTGAACTACATGCTACATCAACTTCAAAAAAACAAAAGATGTCTGTTTCATCAAGAATAAATAGATAAAGCCCCTGGTATATAAAAGTCTTATTAAAAGATTTAACAATGGTTGTGTGTGTGTATCTTCTTACTATGGAATGTAAAATATTTAGAGATGTTCCTGCTAACATCAAGAGATTCTACCAGTGTGTAGCTGATTAAAAACACCTGTATAAACTAGGCTACCAAGGTAACCTCTGGGTCAAGTTTATCCTGTATATTTTTAATCCATTCAGCTGATCAAGCAAAAGATGTAATTACTGTACAATCCATTGTTGTACGAACTTGAAAAGGTTGAAATAGTTGCATGTTGAAGAGTTATTCTGTAAAGTGTTCATGAAGAATGGCATCACAATTGTTATAATGTTCATTGTTGTACCACTAACATGACTTAAGGAATGATATAGTAAGGTATTCTATTGTTTACAGAATATTAATGGCTGACAAGTTAAATCTCAAAACATGGTTTATGGTTTTATATTGCGTTCATATATGTACATATTGTAATTCTTATTCAACAAAATTTGGATTGGCATTATACCTTCAGTATCAAAATATATAGAAAAAACAAAGTTTATGACATGTAATGTGACATTATGCTAATTATATCAAAAGTACAAGTATCAAAATTAATTGTTTTGACAATATGCTGCTAGGACCTACATATAGTTCTATCTTGTTTCCTATGTTAAGCATAAAATACCCAACATAAGTCTAGACGTGTTAAGTATGTACAAATATCCAAAAGTCTATTATAATACTTGTATTAGGAAATATAATTTGCAGGTGAAACTAAGCTACATCAAAAAAACACAAAAAACATGTAGAATGTATGGAATGTAACATTTATAATAAACTCTATAGTTCCCTATACTAATTGTATAATAATAATAATAAAATAGTACTTATTATTGATTATCACAGCAAGGAGTGTGTTTATGTATAAATTGTCTCCTGGCCAAACATTATTAATGATGGTAGATGTTAAAAATATTGTTGTTTTCCACCTACCAAAAGGCTTACACTTTCATCATTCTGAACCAAAAAATCTCATGATCGATTTTTGTCATAGTTTGGTATTTCTTAATGTAAAATTCCCCACTTATGACAGATTTCTATTGTAAGATTTTTTGAGAAAGGAATCCCAGAGGAAATTATCATGAAAATGTGTTGTCTTATCAAAAGAAAAGTATGTTCTGTCTGTGTGTTGTACAACATGTTTTTCATAATCAATTTTTTGAAAAAATAGATTTCATGGGCCTGTTATCAAAAACAGAACTCAAATCAATCTTAGCTGAATAATTTTCATACATTTAATTTGTTATCCATTAGGATCAATAATAATATATTCCATTATAATAAACAGCCAAATTTTTCGTGCAAATTTCTCTAAGCACAGTGCTTATAACAACAAGCCTTTAGTACTTAAAACCATAATATATAAAGTTTGTTATACTATATAGTAATTATGTTTTGAGTGTCTTTATCTGTGTTTTTATGTCCAATTAACCTCTGAAAGTTAAGGAGAAACTAATTACCTGTGTTTGTGTATAAGTGCATTGAAAGCCAAGCCATCTCTCCAACTGGATGTAAAATTACGAACATTAACATTAGGATAGCCAGCAGTCTTCATCTGACACCATAACAATAAAGCATCTTTGGCTGATTTTGTTTCACTATTCTCTGATTCTTCAAAAGTAATGTCTTGGATCTGAAACAATGAATAACCTAGTTTGTACATTTCATCGACATGCCAAGACTCTTACTCTTATCTTAAATTTAAAATAAAGGGGCTCTGATTTTTAATTTATATCAAACTTGCAATGACTAATAAGAAAATTTGATATCAAATTAAAACATAGTAAGAATTTGTGTTACTCATAGTAAAGTATCAACCCCTACACAAATCTCATTAACGAAATTAACATAATGATAATGAACATTGTTGACAAAAGTGTAAGTTATCCTGCAAGATAATATATTAATCTGCATGTATCTTAAATCTAATGCCTACTTCTTATCAGTACTAAATCATTCTTCAAAGATAAAATTACTAATCTTTAAATTATTAATCTGTAACAAAAGATAAATAGATAGATCAGAAACAAACAAGATCTTACCTGGAATCTTAAGATGATGGTCCAAATAAGACCCAGAGTGAGTCGTGAGCTTCCATCCACAATATCGTGGGCGCCCATATTTTCTAAATGTACTCTTTGTTCATGTAAAAATCCTAGGGCTTTATCTACATTTTCTAGGCAGTGAATTCTCATTTTTCCTTTGGTTGGTCGTGGCTGAAACAAGAAAATTGCAATAAGCTTATAAATTCAACTAATTTTATTAGCAAAATGGAATTCTATCCCTTTGTGGCTTTGGATCATTCCACTGCTGTATTAATTTTTGCATATGAATTTTGTTTTGTTTTGATGAATATTGGTTAAACCTGAGTTTTCAAATCATTGAACATAAAGACAATATCTTACCAGTCTTTCTCCAGATAAAACTTCCAGTAATTTCATTAACATTTTGCCATCTCGTAAATCCACATATAAATCTGATATTTTGCAGCCAACTCGGACTAAATGTGAATTGACCCATTTCTGAAATGTCTTTTTCTGTACGTTTTCTCTTTCATCTGAAAATATATTAATAATTACATTTAATAGGTTATGCTGATATTTTTTTTACTTTCCCCTCAGGATGGAAGTTGTGTTAAGAGTGAAAAAGTTACTAAAAACTCCTATGCAAAGTACTGGCCAAGGTCACAAATAAAGAGATCTGCTGGGTATAAACTAAGGTGGAATTAATAGAGATAGTATTTAGTTTTGAACATAAAAACTGTACCAGTAATCTATAATATCAATATCAAAGTTGTTTATAAGTGTAAAATATAGAGCTCTTGGTTGGTCTTGTTGTGCATATTTAACGTTTATTCAATATTTGCATTATAATATCATTTGTTTAGTGTTTGGGAATTTGATAAACAAATACAAATATCATATTCATAATGATAATATTGCAGTCAATAAGACAAACACAATGCTACAGAAATGTTTATAAAGAATTATTTTTTTTTAATAAAATTTATGGATTATTTTTTTCAAATTGAAGTCTGTTCTGTTCAGTAATACAAAGCTAATGTAAGATTAAGTTATGAATGTAAGTTGCAACCAAATCTAGCAAAGACAACAACAAGAATGACTTAGAATATAAAGTATAGTGTTTCACTATAAATGCAGAATAAAGAAAGAGTAAATAAGATCATGTCCTTGTATTACACCTACATTAATTTTATTCATAGAAAGATATAGCTGAAGTGAACTAGGTCATAATGTTTTAAGTCTATACCTCAAAATAGACCCAATAGAAATCTTACTAGTATATAGACATTCTATTTATTCTACCTTTACTTCAAAGTCAAATAAGTAAGAAGACATAAAAGTTTACATGTGACAAAGCTTTTCAATTCAAGGGCAAAATGACAAACACAGTCACAAAATTATACCAAGATAAACAAATATGCTGATATGGCAAAGAAAACTGCACCTAAAGCCAGCTTAACTGATCATATATCTAATATTTTAGGTCAACTATAATATTTCTATAATGTAAATCATTATTGCATTGTTAACATTAAAACATGATCAAAATACAGCATGTAATCAACTTGTTAAATTTTTAAAATATAGCTCAATAATGATATTAAACAGGTTGATTTATTTCAATGTCCAGTGGGACTGTTGTAAATGTATTCCTTTCTACTTAGGTCTGGATGGTGGAAATTGATTCAAAGTCAATTTTGCCAGAAGAGTGCCTGCCTAGTTTTTTTCGCTGTTTGATGGATTTTCAACAATTGCTAACAAACAAATTTTCAAAGCTTCAAAAGAACAATGCTATAAAATATTGTATGAATAATACATACACTATATAATATTTATATATAACACCCACTGATAATATTAATGTGATATTTTGACCTCCACATATTATGTTATTAACAGTTATGTGACCTAAATAATTAAAACATCTGAAAATATAATTTATTCTAGCAAGGTGTGTATATAAATAATATCTATTATATATGAATGTTGACTAATATGCATATCTTATCTGTTTGGTACCACTCTGTAAGAGAGGAAGCTTATTAACAGCCCAACTTTCATGTTAAACATTTTTAGACATAAATGGTTAAATTTTACACAGGTAACCTTATAATGCTTAAACGGTTTTACTTTACACAGGTAACCTCATAATGCATAAACAGTTTTACCTTACACAGGTAACCTTATAATGCTTAAACAGTTTTACTTTACACAGGTAACTTTATGCTTAAACGGTTTTACTTTAAACAGGTAACCTTATAATGCAAAAACGGTTTTACTTTACATAGGTAACTTTATGCATAAACAGTTTTACTTTACACAGGTAACCTTATAATGCATAAACAGTTTTACTTTACACAGGTAACCTTATAATGCTTAAACAGTTTTACTTTACACAGGTAACTTTATAATGCTTAAACAGTTTTACTTTACACAGGTAACCTTATAATGCATAAACGGTTTTACTTTACACAGATAACATGCATAAACAGTTTTACTTTTCATTACTACCCATTTGCATAAACAGTTTTACTTTTCGTAATTAACCTTAAGCTTATGCATAAACAGTTGTACTTTTCATAGGTAACCTTGTGCATAAAAAATCTTAATTTTCATAGTTAACCATAACCTTATGCATAAACGGTTTTACTTTTCATACCTAACCTCGTGCATAAACGGTTTTACTTTTCATACCTAACCTTGTGCATAAACGGTTTTACTTTTCATAGGTAACCTCGTGCATTTAAACCAGTATTAGTCTATGAAAATAACATATTGTAAGTGGAGAAATCTGCCAAGTCCAAGTCAAGCTTACTCAAGGCAAGAATATTTCTGATTCTAAGGTGTTTTCTGATCCATAATCCATCGCCAGACAGGAGCAAATTAGTTATTTCAATGTTAATCAAGTCCCCAAAACTACATCAATTCATGATGGTTTGACACACTAGAAAGTCTATTCAACAAAATGAAGTCAGAAGGAAAGCAGTAGAAGGCAAATCAACTCCAGTAAAAATGTCAATAGAAGAAATGATAAGAGCTAACAAAGTAGTAATTTGTGAATCAGTTATTAGGTAAACCAATAAAATCAATAACCTACTGAACAACTTATACATTAACCCATACAACTTCAAAAACAGGACATAACTTGTCAAAGCCATGCATGAAATCAAAAGTTTATGCTCCTGCAATTACTGGATGATAAAATAGCTATCATCATGACTTATGAGTAAAGTAACAGAAAAGCAAGTTATTATTCAAGGACAACTCTCTAATGCTAATTTGCATCCTTCAGCTTTTCCAACTACACTACAGCTTTTAACCCTGGCAGGAATTGAGCTCTCAGATATTCTGATGATGATATTCTGTAAACCTCAAACTTTTTGTATGTAATGATATTCAAAAAAAATTATAGATATGAAATAAAGGCCACTACAATAGTGATCTTTCTTACTACCATCAATTAAGTTTCTAAACATAAGAGATTTACGGCTTTTAAAGAGTTAACTGATATTTTTTATAGAAATAATCATTAAACTAACATTCTATTGTAATTTGTTATCTAATTCTGGTACATAACTCCTTCATTCTCTCACCAATCAATAATATCTATTTTTATTTCTGACGTCTGTTCACTTTTCTAGAAACAATCAGTAATTTTATCTAATGAAGAATTTCTCTGGAGATTCATAGAAAAATACTGTAGTTTTCAGAATAATATCCATTACCTTTACATCAGAATTAGCTTTTCTACCTTTTTTTCTAAAAATATGTTTTTGTGCGTTTCATTGTACCATTACTCTATGCATGCAAATTATTTTCCTCAAGCTCAGAAGTAGGAATGAACAAATTTCAAAATAGACAAATTTCATGAAATTCAAATTGTTAAATGCAATTTAAGCACTAGAGAGTACATAATATATGTACACGTGGATAATTAATTGAATATGTATAATATAAATACATTTGGTATATCAATAATTAATATGACTCATATAAAATGATATTAACTACCAGTGTATAGATAGATACTATTCTCACAAGTCAATGACTACTGGAAATCAAAACTTTCTACATAGGTAAAATACCAGACAGGAATATACAATCATAAATTTACATAAATAGTTTCCATTTTACATACGAAATAAAGTAACACTATCACAACCACAGGATATACAGCATTTAATCACAGGGTATGAATTGAAATTAGGGTAACATCCCACTTTCAGACAAGACAATTCTTTATTGTTCTTGGTGAACTCACTGAGCCAACTCCTGCATGTTCTAAACAACAATAGGGTGTAAACAATATGATGATAGGGTACATGGAATTGAAGCAATGAAATATACTTTTAAATTTTAGAATTTGTATTCCAATTCATCAATATTTTCAAATGTCATTTCATTTAGCTATTGGTATCTTGGACAGAAGAGCAAGACTTTTAATCTACAGAAAAAAAAAACATAATGCAAATTCCTTCCCTTTCTTTACAACAATGACAAGCTGACCACTTGTCAAGAAAACCTGTCAGTTTATGACAAACATTCTATTGATCTATAGAGTCAGAAAGCTGTTTAATGGTAGAGAAAAGAGTAGAAATTAACTATTAAACTGACCACCCACCATCAAGGTTGGTCAACAGACAATAGTAATTAAAACCTTCTAGAAGTTAATCAATATAACCACTAGAATAATAAACTGAGGTTAACACCAGTCCTATTAATAACTAACTATACTGCATTCCTCATATAATTATTTAATAGTCCCAATCAAACAATATGTGATCTACACCAGGTCTTCAAGAAACAAACAACAGTTTATTTATTCTACAAAGTGTTGAATTTTGTGTATTTATTTAAATTAAACAACTTATTTCTTCAATTTTTGAGAAGGTTTAGGTCCTATATCATTGTTGAATTATGAATCAAACTAAATTTAACCATATTGTAATATCAATATAAATGCTAATTAAATATTTTGCCAGAACAGAACAGCATTTGTTCATTTACTGCTCATTAATGAATGCATGGGTAGTTCTGAAAATTCTTCAAATAGTTTTCTTCATTTATCAGTAATGTTATAAGACCGTCCACAAGTCAGAAATGCTAACAAGATTTCATGTATGAAAATTGCATCGTTCGAAAAAAGTTTATAATCAGAATTTTTCCAGGCATAAGTGAACAAAGATAATATTTGACTTGACAAGACTTAGACAGAAAACTTTAAGAAAACAAAACCCTCAGATGCTTATAACATTTTAGATTTGCCAATAGAACTCAACTAGATTTGGAGGTACTGTATTCATCATCTTACCTGCAAGTTCTTTAATTTTTCCCTTAATAAGCCTCTCCTCTAATTGGGCATGTGTTAAAATGTCCATTTTCTCCTTCATAATGTCTTTTAAAAAGCGTCAGAAAACAATCCAAGTGTTATTTGATATATGATGATGTAGAAAAAATGTCACTCAAATATTTTTATCACCTATTTCTCCAGTTTCAGGTATTTTTTTTATATCACAGTCAAAATCTAGCATCCAACTGTGACAAATATACATTACACTTTCATTATTCAGTACTGATTCCTTATATTAGATAGAGCAGAGGAAGCATTAAGGTAAGATCCGTTAATATAATGGCTCAGTTTGCAGTCAATAAGTGTTCAAATCAAGGGTTAATTCTTATCAAACTATGAGATAACAATGATAAATGTGCAAAATATCAAACAACTCTAGATACTCCTATTACACTTCAAAAATGTCTTACAATGGCTCACATCGGATTCTTAAAAAAGTGATCTGTTCACATCCCTTACCCACATCACAATAAAGTTATATGGAAGGTAAAGGGGAAGAGATCATGAGGAAATATTGCTGTAGGGCATAATAAAATATACCATTGTTTTAAATATTAAGTGAGATAAGTGTGATATAATATATCTATAATTATCACTTGACCTCATTTAACTCAAAAATTAGAGCTGTCCATTCACAAATTAACCAAATGTCAATCTTTAACTATCTGTACAAGCTTATGTTCCAATTCCTTTTTCTCACATTAGTTATTACCAAAATATAACCACTATTTAAGTAAAGAGTCATTTTAAAAGATTAACCCTATAAAACACATATTAAATTTTAAACAAGTTGCAAGGCATGACAATTACTAACATGTTTTAGGAAATGCTACTTAGTCAAGACTGTTTGGATCAGCATTTATCACTTTGGTACAAAATCTTTATGCAACCAGTGGATTGCAAATTAACTCATATCAAATCTGTATCAAGTAGAGATTTAAGATATGTAAATTTCCTACTTTTCTATCAAGATTTAGTATATTAGGGTTTACATAAAATGAGGATTTAAGTTTTATGTACTGTGATTTCTACTTTGTTTTGTTACAGTCTTTTAAATATTGATCTACCACGAGTTAAACACACAGAATGGTCAATATTTTGAAACATGTTCTTGGCTGCATGTGACTCTGTGATATTTTGCATTAGAAAATGTTGTAAGGTGATAGAACTCTTCAAATTAATCACAAGTATCAATAACCCAATAAAAAAGTCCTATCAATCTCATAGGTCAAAGAAGGCAACTCGACAAAATCAAGGAGGTAGTTATTGCAAAGACCTTGTTTTTAAAGCAATGGTGTTCACTGTTTAGAAAAACACAAGTGGTTGACAAAATATCTGGACACATATGGATTTGAAAGCTCAAATTTTGATGGTGAATTGTGATTACTAATACTGATAAGCTAAAGTATTTCCGTTTCTGAGACTATGGTATGATTGGTCAAACGGATGGTAAACATGTCCCTTTAACTTCTTCATACTATAATGACTTGCTGTCTATGCTATCAGTAACAGTCTAAGGCAATTTGAATCAATGAGCATATTTTAGGCTGTTGATAAGAGCAATCATACAGTCTTCTATCTTATTCAAAATTATTGAAGCATAAAATATTCTAATAGCTGGTCTTATATATATAGATTGAGTCTTCACATTACTTGGGTTAAATTTCTTTAGTCTGTTTGTGTGAAAGTCTTTCAATATATCCATTGAAATAAAATTACTTTACTTTGTTCTGGAAATCTTCCAAAACTAAAAGATGTTTTAAGTAACTTAAAAAAAAAAACAAGCATTCTAAAGTTTGTATATAGCTGTCCTGTATTTAATATTATCAAATATATTGTTTATTTTACAGTAATCTATCAAAGTGGTCTGTCATCCTGTTTATAAGAGGTATAAATATAGTACTGTGTTTTAACAATTAAAATACTTTATAATATTCATATCTTTTCCTGTAGTCACATTTTGGGCGGTGAAGTCTGTAGTGTTCCATATCAGAGATTTTTTTGTGACCTTTGGCTACCCCGAAACTTATATTATAGGTCAAGCAGCTCATCAATCTGGACTTAGCATTAAATTAATGCTTTGTGCACTAAAAGCTCAACACATGTGTCCTAACAAAATTTTCCCAATGTCACACTACAGAACATTGCACAAATTTTATTGCAAAAACTTGTATCTTTGATTGCTGCAAGTGGTTATCGCAGTGCATAGTAAATTTGTATACGAAAATTTTCAAAAATGAATGTATGTATGCAAGTTACCTTGCAAATAGAGAATTTCCTTAATAGGAACATTAAAAACTGTGTCCCATGATTTGAAATAAATACCAAATAGTTTGAGAGCAATATATAATGGTGGGTAAATGATGTTATTTGAATATCAATGTGAAAGGAAATAGAGTGGTCTGTTTAGGGCGACATTTTAAAATGAGATAATAGTTGGTGGTCTAGCCTAGATAGTAGAATATATTGTAGGGTATAATAATAGCTAGCTAGGTTATTACGGGTAGAAAATCAATAAACCTATAGATAGTATATATATACTATAGATAAAATAGGAATGTGTTGATCTCGCATAAATTCACCAAGTTACCATCAACAGTTTACATATAGAACATCTGTTACTTCTAAAATTGCCGGTTATGATTGAATCAACAGCATGTAGTGTCAGGCAGCCATGCCATATTTCAACTGATTTCAGTACTATCTTGAAAGAGTTGAAAAATGCTTTTCATAAGGCTATAATAGGAGTAACTAAATTTTGCACTTGCTTCCCAAAAAGTCATAGATAATAGAAAGTAATAGAAGGAAATAGATTTCATTTTTATTCGTTTTTGTTGCCACAGCCAAATTGTCTGCATAGATAATAGTGAACCATTGCAACCGTCACAAATAAGTCAGGTCAAATCTATTAAACACTGATCGGTTAAATGTCATGTGTTACTCATGAACACCACGTCTAAGCTTAAAGGAATTGTTAACAGGTTTTCTAAATTTTGTATATATTGGGAACACTGGTGGCATCAATTTGCATTCATTCCAATTTCCAATCAGCCGTCTGTGGTTTCTGCAATTCCACTAATACTAAGTGTTTGATGATGTCCCTTATGGCGGATGGCCATATCTGAGACAAGCAAATTTAGTGATAAGTAACGACATAAAACGCTTAGTTTTAGTGGAATTGCAGGATCAACAGGCGTCTGAAATTTGGAATGATGCTAATTGATATTACCAGTTTCACCAAAACACATACAAAATTTAGAAAACATCTTTACAATCCCTTTAAATACAATCATCTCTTATTTCAATGTCAATAAGTTCATTTGGATTGATGTAAGGTGAAAATGATTACCGGATTCATGATAGAAAGGTAGTAACAGTTTGTGTCAATAGCTTGAGGGCAAACAGTGTAGGCAATACTTGAGAGCCATTCATATTGACATTATAAAATATCTTATTTTCACATTAATCATGCTACAGTTTATTACCTTTGACCTTTTACAAGTATGAATATTCAGAGAGCTATACATGTATATTAATATAATACCTCTCAGTCAATGCTCTACTCTGAGTTGAAAAACATTATTGTACAATGGAAACAACCATGTAATCACCTCGCCCCTCCTCCATTTCAAGCTGCAAAGGGATCTTTTCTGTGGACACAAAGTATCTCAAGGTCTCTTCTAGATTAAAAATATTTCAGAAAGATGGCTTGGGTCTATTTGAGAATTGAAGTGGGGTCTAAGCCTCATGAACACAATTCATTTGGCAAATTTTTACTGACCTCTAGGAGTGGGGTTGAATAAAGACTTATGACAAGACCTTGATGGGAGCCCAGTAAAACATCAGGACAAATAAAGTCCACAATTTGTCTGAATTTTGCATAAGTAGTTTAAGTTTGGTGTGTTTACCAGCATCTTACCTGCTAAAGCTTTAATTCTGGACCGTTCAAAAAGTCTGGAGGAATTGTTTCCTGCATCAAAATCATCATCAACTTGTCCAGGATCCCAACGGATTCCTCCATTATTATAATTCTCTATCTCCGTCATGGCTACTCACGTCTCACTCTGAACCAACACGATCCTATAATGATAAAACATGAAATGTAACATGGTATAATAGTGTGCTGTGGAAGATATCATCTTCACCAGACGATAGATTAATTTAATGAAAGTTTAATAAAGGACGAAAATTCTGACTTCTTGGCATTAATTGTATTATTATCATAATTTTAGCAGAATAGGGTAGGGTCAATAATCCAAGGATGAGCCAATTAAAGGATAAAACATTGCAAAGCTCTGGAATGTGTGTAAACCCTCTTTGATCATTTTAGATTTTTTTTTTTTTTTAGAGATGAGTAGGGGAAAATTCCGTAATTTTGTTGTCGAATGGCCATGAAAAATGTATTTTAAGTTATTTTAAGTATCCATTTGACCATTGTCCACTTGTACTATATAAATACTATTTATTTATAGATAATAACAGCTAGCTAACAAGGCTGGTAGTGTAATCCTTCAAGAATTCACTGTTCAAACTAATGAGCTAGGTAGTATTATTGAGGTCAGTTGAGAACTACTATAAAAGTAAACAATAAGTCGTTAGTAAGTTCAGTATTATACTATTTATATCAAAATTATCATACGCCTAGTAGAACTGTATTCAAGATGGTTATCCTAATGAGTTGGACACTCATAACACCAGGGTCAAATTAATACCATTCTTATAATCTATATCTCCACTCCTTATCAATTCCAAATGGATATTCATCAAATATTCTGATAAAACCAACATGAAAAGAAATTTACTCTATTATGAAAGGATGTGTTTATATACACTTACAGAATCAAGTATCCTCATTAATTTCTAATTCAAAATAATTCAATTCACATTTTCACTATCAACAATTACTATTGAAATACTTTCCAAATCACTGTCTTAATCCACACTCTATACACAAAATATTATCTCCAAAATAAAAGAGTAAAAAGAAGCAAGATGAAAGCTGTATAATATTCCAGACAGTATATATCTAGCTCACCACGTAGACTAAATCACGTGAACATCCCAGCCTAGATGAATCAATCTATCAGTATAATATAGCGGTTGTTAGTAATTACTAACCATTCATTATTATTCAACTATATACAACATGTCACATAATATATTATATAATAGCTGATAATTGTATTGATATACTAACAGATATAATATACGTCTGACTATACCACAAGAATGCAATGTAAACTAGCAACTGAATATTCAAGCTCTAAAAGCTTATATATGCAGTTATACCCAAAAAAATGTAAAAGCAAAATGACAATATATGGTCATACAAACATTATGAAACTTTGATAAAACTTTTATTTAAGACTACCATATATATTTTACAAAATTAGTACGGAAATCCTTAACATGCCATTTGATCAACGTAACAAATATCATCTATTCAAGAGTCGAGACACAATAGATCAGCAACATGTGTTATAAGACAATAGGATGATAGCATCTAGAGACTAGAGATAACTAGAACAATAGTCCAGTGCCATGTCAACCAATATCTGGTCTAATTCTCCTGGAATTCACAGCCAATATGATTCACTTCGCTGATGACACATTCTGCCACTTAACTTAATTTTACAAGTACCCGTAATATTATTTCAAGCTGTTTTGGTTTGTTGTGCCCTACTGAATTTCCTTTATTTCTAAATGAGATCAATTCAAGGGCAAGCTCTCAAAGAATAAAGTTCACTACCAAATTCATATATAAACTATGATAAACCTAGAAGATGTAGCCATCCACATAATAATTGTCATAAAATAATGTAAAGAAGCAGGAGACAGAAGGCAAGTTAACATAGCTTAGACAATGTAGGTTACTCCATTGATTACATTCTGACCGTAACTATTTAAACTACTATTTCTCTTGGCACAACTTAATCTCTGAACATTAGTAATTGGCACAGATTTAGTATTAACAGCAAATCTTTAGGATGGTAAAATTTAGATGAACTACAAATATAACTTTTGGATTTCATGAACCATTGCAAACCAAACTTGTATATTATATTACAGTTTATTTTGACCGATGAGTCTACCAGTGAAATCTGTAGGAGTGCATTCGAAAAACTTATCCTTATTCGAAAAAAAAGTCTGCTGGCAGTATCTATCAGTCAATAACATATCAGCAGAATGACCTAATTCCAATAACAAGTCTGACATGATTACCTCAATCAATTATTTCTAAACTTTAACAATTCAAATCAATACCTGATAAAATATTCTACATTCCATACATCATTTCATTTTTACTATAATCAATTCATTACAATCATCTCAGAGGAATTTCATAATGAAACAATCCATTATAGATACATATTATAACAATAACAGAAACTGTAAGTATAATTAGACCATTCTATTTATATCATTCAAGCATTAATGCCTCTAACCACACTTCTTTAAACAAACGTTTTGAACTTGTCTAGAAATGTAGACATAAGAATAAGTTCTACTTGTTCAACTTCAGTATGGATGCAAACTGAAAAAAGGTCAGTCTGAAGATTGCGTAACGTGAAATGTGATTCAAGTTCTGTTTTAATAGTTTTATATCTTCCAAGCTTTAGAATATTGGCATAAATCACTTCTTATTCAATGACCTTGCCTCCCAACTTACGTTCAAAATATCTTTTCACTACATGTATTTATAAACACCCAACATTTCGCTTGATTTGTCAGTCTGGCAAACTTAGTGAAAAATTTACAATTGGGATTTCAATAGACAAATATCAGTTTTTGGCAAATCATCATGGATTAGGGTGACTGAAAGTAACAAGTTACTATTATACAAACGCCACTGGCACAGGGTTATTTGTCTTAAATTCCTTGAAATATATCACTTATACCAGTATTTAATATAAAATTAATACCTACTAAGTATTAGTTAAACAAACAATACTAATATAAGCTTAGTACCATTCTACACAATTCCTGTCAATATTTTCTCAATTATAAGTAATAAGCACAATAATATGCTGATTTAGAGTAAAAATCAATAAAAATCACAGGTTCAGCTGTTACACTAGGTAGAGAGAAATATTTCAAGAATTCCCTCTGACTAACAAACAGTCATTATCACTTACACAAACTATCAGTCACTCAGCATTTCACTTTTCATTTTTTTAAATAGTTAATAATGCTCAAGTCTATTGCACTTTGTTATTTACCATTGATTCAAAGTACCGGTATTTGAGTTTGCACACTTAAGCATCCATTTTGAAAAGTACACAGTTCACATCCATATCAATTGACAAATTCTAGGATAAAATTCTGAACATTGATTGATAGTAAACCAAATTTTAAATGTACACTTTCCTAACTACAAATTTTCACTGTCTGTTCACAAGTTTCAAGAATAAAATATAATATTTTTATTAAATGAAATCTGATATATATTCATAATAAAAGATGGTATGAAATTCCAACAAGTGTTTTATTATTTTCCACCCAGCAGGGAACCTGATAGAAATGAAATAGATAAGCCTAACAAATTTTTCTCCTATCTTGTATTATTGGAGAGTGATGAGTCATATTGTCTATTTATATAGTGTTAAAATACATTCTACCATGATAACTGACTGTTCTCTTGTCTGATATATATCATACTCTAGACCTCCACCCAGGAAACATTCTACACAATATTAGATACCAGTAATAGTTATTTACTTTTTCAACATTACTACAGTTCCACTTCTCAACATTAAAACATAAACATTCATTTATCAATAAACAGCCATACATATAACTCATATAATGTAAAAAAACAAACTGTGAAAAAAACCCCCAATAAACCAATGCTAAATGTGCACCAAATGACAAAGTACCAATGGTAATTGAAATTTAGTCAAAAATTCTTACCGGTAGCCTACTAGTGCAATGTAGAAGATAATGTCTTTATGGAATTTGGCAATTGTTAGTACTTAATATTACAGACACATCTTTTAGGAATATCATATATTGTATATAGACACATCCTTCAGGAAAGACAATCACTGCTTTAAGTTTTATGCAACCTTTCAACATGTTTCTTTTGTTGCCCTAATAAAAACTCTTTCAGTTTAACATTTAACAAATATAAGTTTCTATAACAGATCTGTAACAAAGCAATTAATACAATATTCCATATCAATAGACATCTGTACATGTATACATAATGATACAATTCAAATATATAAATTCTAATTTCTACAGTTAGAGTATAGATTTCAAATGATATTAATGTCATTAAATTGATCATGACTAATTTCATTTATATGAAAGTTTGTTGAATTAACTTTGGACAAAATACTGATACATACTAACCTGAATATATAATATATCTCTCATCGAAAAATAACACAACAAAAAGGTCATCTATTGAGCTCTAACTACATAATTCAAGGTCATATTTCAGTGACAAATGAGTGAGAGTTATTCTGAATCACACAGTTAGAGATATTAACAATATACACTAATAACCAATAGACAGTGTAAATATGTCCTCACTCCCAAAAGGGTTAAAAGACTGAAGATAAACACAGGATATCAAAAAGCATGTAATCTATCATAGATGTATCCTTAATCCACCAAAAATACCTGTGATCAACAAAGCATACTATGGCCATACAGTGGCTCACTTCACTTGTAGATCAGTGGAGTGTATCATTATAATCAAGGTCAATATAGCTAGCTAACAGAGATATTAACATTATATCCTTAGATTATAGGGTATGTACCTTGAGACACCTACACTTAACATTCAAATCTAATCTTTTAACAATCACCATAATATCAGTACTTTTATAGCTCATTATATTAACATTTCTATGCGGAGCTTTCAGTTGTTTCTTGCTGTATATGACTTAATGCCAGTACTTTTATAGCTCTTATATTTGACATTTCTATGCATTAGCTTTCAATTCAGTAAAAGTATAGAGCTTAGTCATTGCAAGCTACAACCCAGCTGTAAACTGTGTAATTGTTTATAAACAAACTGAAAGATCTTTCAGAGAATCATTGGAATTTGGAAACAAATTTCGAATATCGCCCTTAAATGAAATGGTAACCAAGACAACTATACTAACAACACAGTAGGTCCAGAGATAAGAATTATAATGTGAAATAAGCAGGTCTATCTATTACAATCTAACAACATCTGTTGGTGTTGTGGGTTGTCCAGTTATTATCTGTAGCATCTATTTTTACCTCACTGGTCAATTGGCCAGATATTTTTTTCCAGCTTTAAAGTCCAGATCTTCAGTTATTTAATAATTTAAGTTCATACCTTCTCTTGAAAGTTTAAATTTATTATTTATCATATGATCTAGCAATAGCACTAACTAGAAAGAACCAGTTATCCCATTCCTTTGAAGGATTTATCCACTTAATTCAAGTAAGAATTCAAAATGTACTTAGTTTGCAGGCCTAATTAGAAGTCAAAATAGAACATTTCAATCAAATACTTACTAAAATTAACTAATATAAACTAATCAACAACTCGAAAAATGTTAAGTAGAGAAAATGTCCCCGTTTAATCCAAACTACACAATTAACAACTATTAAATGGATTGGTGAAAATGAAATGACTAAATTCATAATAGATATCAGGTATACATACAGTAGATCAATAACCTATCTATCATATAGATACTAATGTAATTTATTAGTCAGAATAATAGTTCTTGGTTAGTCATTAAAATGTATCATAACACCTGACACCAAACTCTGATAAATTTTTTTCGATCTTTTTTCATAAATTGAAGAAAAGTACATTATTTTACCATAATGTAAATCTATTCTTAACAAGAATTAAGAGTAAGCTTGTCATTGAACATATTTAAATGTATTGGTACGTATTATCCATTATGTTTTTTCTTCAGTTTACTAAAATATAACTTATTTTTGTAATTTAATCAGATTATCTAGCTGAACTTTAAAACTTGACTCCTTATAGTCATTTAATCCAATCAGATTAGGTAGATGTTGCCATTGACCTAAAGATGGGGATCAGTAGTTGAAGCCAGGTGTATAAATAATATGAAGTAGAATAACCTTCATGTCATTTATCTGATTAATAAAACATGTTTACAAACTTAATCAGATTTTGTTTTCATTCAAAGATCATGTCTTGTTGTTCATCAAGCATGCATCTCAAATATTTGCTTTACTCAATGAAATATAGCTCATGTTAGACTTCCATTTCATCAAGTAGACTATCAAAATGTAGGACCTAGATCTATCTATCATAAAAATGCAAATTTTATGATCTCAGACTTTTGTTTTTAATTATATCTCTTTTACAAGATCAATAACAAATCATTTATTGATCATAAAACAGATGATAAGAGAAGGCATATCTAATTTTAGGCATGTGGCTTCCTCAGGCTGGAGACAAGCAGGCTAGGCCTAATACTAATAGTAATAATGTGATGGCAAAGCAATGGCTTCACTTCAGTCCAGCCAGGGAAGAATTCAGAACAGTTGTTAGTTGTAAAATGAAGACCCAAAAAGATATATTACTCTTAGCTATAACCCTATCTAACGGATCAAAGACTACTGAAATATTAGAATGTACCAACTGCAAGAAATATACAATTTTATACTCTAAATCTTATCTGTAAACTGTAATGTTATTGATTATTTATCTGCTTCCGCCATATTTGTTTCACACTACGAGGATAGCATCATCAGGTTGTTTCTTGAATTCTGCAACATTCCAAAAAGGAATTCATGCAAATACTTACCTATATAAATGTTGGACCGTTTGGTCAGTAATCCACTCTTGTGATTCTGGTATTGCACACTGATATCCTCTAGAACTGATAAAAATACTAATATTTCGCCGGCTTCTACGGTAGATTGCGGGAACCCAAAGCTAACCTCATCACCAGTCTTAACATTACTACGCTAATGCATCGGCATTTTCACAAGCCATGACTGTTCACAAAATAGTTCTTCACTACAATAAATATATCAATCAGAAAAGATTTGTTTCATTAAAACATATTGCGAGAATAAATGTTTCCTGTTATAAATTTGTTGATAAAACATGTTTAGTCTGCATGCTGAAGTAAGTTATATAATTGTTTAATTTCATGAATGAGCTGGATTGGAGATGATGATGTCATACTATTATGGGATAGGGCGTTTCTTGGGTGAAAGCAAATTAACTAATTGGGTTTCAAAGTTGAGAGGGGCACGAAATGAATTTACTCTAGAAAAAGAAAAACAATTGAAGCTAGTTGACCGCACTTGAAATTGAACCTTTTGTCAGCACCAGAATATGATATATCCCAAATAAAATACTGCCCACCTGGATATTGGCATTAAAAAAGTAGTTCGGTACGGGCACCTGCTGTTGCATTATTTAGGCCAGGGAAGAATCTCCTTATACTCTCTCTATCTTGGGCAAGATTGATTACTTTTGAAATCGGTATTGGCTTTTTTTTTTTCACTACATTGTTCTTGTTCTATAATGTTTTAAAATTCATATTTTTGCTAGATCACGTAGCCAGATCACCTCATAAATATATTGATTATTGTAGGTCAATATGGGAAATAACTCTTATTAAAAGTATATGCTACAGACTATAGTTAATTTTTCATCAGACAAGTTGCGAAAGGCGTATTCCAATCAAGATGCTATAATTTTAGCATACGCACCGATATTTTTGATTCTGTGATTATTGATGCTCAAATGTACCTGAAAGTCAACATTTGGGAATGTTAATAGGCTACTTGGCACAGTAAACAACACACTTGTATAACAAAGGACTTCCAATAACTAACTCCCCCACCTACCAATAACTAATTAAATGAAACACTTGTATATGATTATAATATAGTGGAAATATTTAACAATAGAGCTATAACAAAAATATACATAAATAAATTAAGCTGTTAACCATGGATCAAGAAAATTACATAGATATACACCTAATTATTCATAACATATATTATTTTATAAGTTTTATGACAAACAAAAAATAATTTCAACATTATTCTTTCCTGATTTATCATCATACTGAATTTAACTGTCTAGTACTGATAAAAAAAACATCCCTTTTTTTTAAGGTTGAGGTGCTTGGTAGCCTTAATTTGGGAGGGGGGTGTTCTAATTTCAAAGTCTGAAGTATTATGTTTGGTTGTACAGAGTTAACACAAGGACAACTCTTTAAAGTTTGCCATTGCATCCAAACTGCTACTCCACTGCCCTACCTTTTGTTAAACTCTTAAAAGAGACATTGATGTTGCAAGACTCCGGCCATGTTCCAACCTTTCAGTTGAACAACAGGATTTTTTTTTTGATGGACAAATTACTTAAAATCATGATAAGAATTTTCCTTGTAGATATACATACAAAATTAGATATCAGAAGCAAATACTTTAGTGAATGGGATGAAATGGCATTAAAAAATGTCTGTTAATCGTACACAAGCCAAACAGCATTTAAGCAAAGGTACACAACTTTTGTTACAAGGCACTTATTTTTCTCAGAAAAAGAAATAAGTTTTAAATTCAAGCATTCAAAGCCATCTACTCTCCACATTCAGTAATAAAAATATAGGAGTCCAGCAATCAATATCATTAATGTCAATGTCAGCCATGCTTGTTATAACACTTTACACACATTATGGCAGTGCTGGCGATATTGCATGCAAATGTAAACATGGGTGTGAGTGAACATGAAAGCCACTAGTGCTCTAAAGAGTAGCCAGGTATCCATTTTCTAGAATTTCACAGATATCTTGACAGTAAGCACTATACACCACCAAAAACACTTCTTCACTTCTGCCCAGTCCAATCCACTGGTTTACTGTAGTAACTGTGTTAGTTGTCAACTGGACAAACTTTATGGTCTTTACAACAATAATAATGTACTATTACACCATTAGGATATCGGGCAAATGCACTGAAATAAAAAAAAAGGTACATGTACTTACTCTTGGTTGCTGAAGGTACATGTACTTACTCTTGGTTGCTGTCTAAAGATGATTTACAAATGACTGGATGATCATATTCGAGAGTCGAATGGATAATTACTTGACAGAATGGATCATACCCTAGAGAGTGGATCTCCTCGTCGTTTAAGGAAAAAATTGTCTAAGGATCACCCCCAATATAATTCAACGAAAACTGAAGAATATCTGAATGATGTAATGCATTGTTTAGGTGGAAAGTTAGTTTATCAGAATATTCAAAAGATTGTTAAACGGACTATTTATTTGAAGATTGAATGGTCTAAGCAGCAGTAGGTCCAATGTCATACGTTTCAGAGTGCCTAACTTGTTCTTAAATTGGGTTGATCTAAGAATGATCTAGAACACATTTAATAAGATGAAAGCGTGTTAAAATTTGAGACTGGTTTGTTTTGTGCTCTAATAATTGTGGGACTTTGCTTTCAGCAAAGTCCCAGTTTGTTATCGAAATGTCAATTCTTTTTTTTTTTTTTTTTTTTTTTTTTTTTTCGATTTTTACACACCTTCCTCAGCTTAGACTACAATAGTTGCAGCAACCATTCAACATTCACGAACCTTAGATATAGGCGACGATGTGCATAAATATATTTTGGATCTTTTTTGCAAAACCGAAAGTGCCACAGTTCAATATGTGCAAGAATAGATAATCGGCTCTAGAAGTCGTATTTTTCGGTCGATTTTCTTTGGGTTTGCATTTTTGGAATCTACTGTTAAAATCTGAAAGAATAGCAGTTTCAAAATTTCAAAATTCGAAAATTTGTCGCAGACATTTTTTGGCCGATTTTCGAAATTTTTGGACCATTTTTCAGTTTTTTTCG